TATAATGCGTAACACACGGGCGTTATATAAAGTTTACGAGAGGTATCGCATCGCTAGAGGTCACCGATCGCCTCGACGGCAGTCGACGTGTTCGAAATCGACGTCGATTTCCGCCTGAGTACGTCGACAGAAAAACTTCCTCCCAAGGGTGAACTGAGAACCACCGTACCCCAGCTGTATCATTCGGCGAAGGTTCCCTCCGTGCGTTTATGCGCGATTTGCACGAGCGGGAAATGCGTCCACCGACGCAAAAGTGGGTCTACTCAGGGAACGAACATTTCGCAGATACGACGTTTCATAAAGTCCCCCGTCGTGGAAAGTCGTCGTATTAAACCCGCCCCGGTAGTCCCCCTTTCTCTCTCTCTCTCTCTCTCTCTCTCTCTCTCTCTCTCTCTCTCTCTCTCTCTCTCTCTCTCTCTCTCTCTCTCTCTCCTCTTCCCTCTTTCGTGAATAAGGCGACCCAAGAAGTAGAAAATGGTTCGAGGAACGGGTGTTTTGTATGCGACACGGTTCGAGCTCGCGGCCGAATATACATCCGATGTAGTCGCGAATGCCAAGAGTACGGACGACTCGATCGTTCTCCTCCCGTCGTCCTCCCCCGCACGACCCGGGATGCCGTAGGACGACGAAGTAAATAATATATATCGTTGTTACCTCGGCGTATTTCTCGATCGGGAATCCCTTTTGCGCGCGGAGATGAGAAATATTTGGAATTTTTCCGCGCGAATTCGCCGTGCGTCGATTTGCACGTCCGGCTAATGCGATCGTTGACGCGTCCGAAATCGTTCGCAACGCAACGCGAAAATATAAACTACTGTAAGTTTCTGAAACCGCGGGGCAATCGGCGTTAGATCGAACGGTCAACGCGAGCGTAAAAAGAACGATCACAATCTTATCACGTGGCGATAAAATCCGATCGCTCGGGCTCACACCCACGCGCGCGGACTTGCGGAAAAACGTAATGGTCATGTAATTCAAACCTGACTTTTTTTTATTTTTTCGTTTTACGCGTCGGGCTGTCAATCGTCGTCGGATAATTCACGTCGCGTTATCTCGAGAGTTCCTACGCCAACAATGTCACGCACCATATTTATCCGATATCGCCCGTAATGTCTCGAGACACGAGTAACGAAATGTAACGTTGCGTTGACGTCACAATGCAGCATAAACACGCGCACGGTATAGCTTTATGCATTTTTAACACTTTCGCTACCGGCGCCGTACATGTGTGACGTAACGATCTTCCGCGAGACACCGGACTCGTATGTGCGCGACGGCGAACATTTCTCTCCCTCCGTTTTGATCAAACTTTGTCTATTTTACAGAGTTGTGTAAAAAAGCGAAAAAAAAATGAGATAGAGAGGGCTCTCCAAATGATAGCGAATATGTTAATTAGGTTCAAAAGTTGCGTCAGCTATGTCTCATATTGCACAAGGGCTTTGATTAAATACATACGAGATAACCCGCGATAATAACTGATAAAGATGTGACGAAAAGCGCGCGACAAAGACCGTTGTAAAGTTACGACGGTCCACGATATCTTTAATTCGGGTCTATTCCCGCGGAAGGTACAGCAAAGTGTATTCGTCAAATAGAACTGTTTGCATTGTCAAACTTTTACCACGTCCACGATCGTGTACAATCATCAATAAGGTGATCAAATATTTTTCGGCTACGTTCTACGTCTAAAGCAATAAAAGGTACGTACGTAGAAGCGGAGTACGTAAATAGAGACGGAGCAAAACGTTACGTTATATTACACGTTTTAATAAATTCGCGATCACCTTCTCATGAATATCTAATGGTGATTCTGATCAAGATAAAAATCTCCTGACATGAGAATTATGAGAATTATGAAACGAATTTCTTCCATATGGGCAATATTTATAAATGTAATGAATTTATTCACCAATTTATTCGTGAATGTAATGAAACCGTGACATGAATACCTGCCGCAATTGCCGTTCTTATTCAAATACGCCGTCCTTATTCAAATGAATTCCTCGAAATGTCGCGCTTAACGAGATTGAATTTTTCACCGACCCAGCGCAATATTCGTTTCCCACGTTTTCGAGTAAGTCGGTATCGGTAAGTCGTTATCAAACTCGGACAGATGGTCTCTTGTCCCGTCGGTATAACCGGAATAATATCTCGGATATGGGGGTGATATAGTGAACTGTTTTTTCCAGTCTTTCTTTTTTTTTCGATAAATTAAATGATGAACGACGGAGTGGAAGCGTCAGTATTGGCGCGAACGCGCAAAGTCAAGGTCGCTAGATCGAGCAAAATAAGACCGTAATTTACAACGGATGTATAAGGGCCAGAGCACAGACTTCTGCATAACGCATAATACACAACGCATAAGAGAACAAACCAATTAGTTTTCTTCATTTCCCTCCTCAGGACAGAAATGAAGAACTCTGATTGGTTGATTCTCTTATGCGTTGTGTACTATGCGTTATGCAGAAGTCTGTGCTCTGGCCCTAAATCTCCCGACTCGAGGGACTGGCTATTTCTTCTAAAAAAACAAGCTACGAGTACGTATGTGTTGTCAGCTTTCATTTTTTCTCGATGTGTTTTTCAGTCGTGTTGAACTCTATCAGGTCAATCAGGTCAATCGGAAAGTCCCGTTCGCTTTTTTGCAAAACGTATGGTTTTATTTAAGAAACAAAATGAGAAAGTACATCAATAAAAATATTATCCATCGTTAGCGATGACTTTTTTCCATTTTTTGGTCAACAAGCGAATTGCGCGGCGAAATAATGACTCCTTATTTGTGGAGGCTATTTAGTCAGATACCTATTTTTCTACGTCTTCATAAGAATTAAAGCATTCGTCAGCAAGTGCGTTGTGTGCCATCGACGGGAACGAATGGTAGTCAGAAGGGGCACAGTCTGGTGAATAAGCCGCCCGTGGGATAACACTTCCCAGCGAAGTGCTTCTAACGTTTCCTTGACAGATTTTGTGACGTGAGGCCGAGCGTTGTCATGAAGCAAAATCACTTTATGCTGCCTCGTTTCATATTCTAGTCGTTTTTCGTGCAATGCTCGGTTCAAACGGATCATTTGTTCTCGGTAGAGATCTCCTGTGACTGTGTTTGACCACTTTTCAACAGCTCATGGTACAGCACACCCTTCCGTGGATATTCCGCTTTGGCGTCGATGTTGAGGGTTGACCGGGATCGCAAATAGTCTTTCGACGTTTGGAGTTGTCTAAATAAATTCATTTTTCATCCCCAGTGATTGAAGCAAAAGATTAACAATGTTACCGATGCAAACGTATACCTTTATATACTGAATGTTGTTGACAGATGTCAAAACAAACCATTAAGTTTTGTTTAGACATTAGAGATTAACGATAGTTCTAGTTACAGCTAGTGCCGCTAGGACGGAGCTTTCTGGTTTACCTAATATCAATGGAAGGGGGCTTTGCGCCGTTACGAGCGAAAGGTATTTAGGAGAGTACGCGCATAGTTCTCGTTTCAGTTGCAAAAGCTACAGCGGTTACGTAGTGCGCGAATCGAGGGTTAACGGCGATTCGTATGTTTACACGAGACTCCGCGGTAAGTAAAGGGGCAGCGAGAATTGATGCATGTGCATTACGTGAGTATAGATGCGAAAGAAAGTGCTTCCGCGTCGGTCCGAGACGACGCTCGCGCGGTGCCGCTTGCATAATGCTTTCCTTGCCGATGGAAGAAAGTGTCTTGTTCTCTCGTTCTCTCCTCACCCTCTTGCTCTCCCTTTCTCTCGCTCGTTCGCTCTAACTCTCCTTCTCCTCGACATGGTCGGCGATGCGCCGATGCAATATTCCGAGAAAATCCGCAGTCTCGAGACGAAAAAGTCCCTCCCTCTCCCTCACGGTCTCTCTCGGTCTCTCCTCCCCTTTCATTTTTCTTCCGTCTCCTTCTGCTGCTCTCCCCCGTTTCGTTGGTCGTTTCGACATAAATGTCTGTGGAAATTCGCAGCACCGTCGAGACAAGAACGTTTCCCTCGGGCGAGCGGAAAAGCGTGCGAGCGGATCTCGCCGGGTAAATAAATAGCGAGCGAGTGAGTGCGCGCGAAGCGAGAACTCCTTTGTTACAATTGAGTTTAAAGCAACACAGCTGCCTCCGGCAGATTCAATTACAGACTCTTCCGTCGTTGCGTACACGAACGAGAGCGTGTCCTGCCTGTTTAAGCGAATTGTGCATCTCTGCTTCCTTTTCTCGGAAGCGGAACTTCGCCCCGTCTCTCTCGCCTCTCACCTGGACGCGCGCGCTCGCAATCGTTTCACCCCACTCGGCTGCCATTGACACCTCCTTCGCCGGCGACCGCTGGCGATATTTATTAATATTCCCATTCGCGCAGCGGAGCTAAGCTGCGAATCGATCGTTCGACGCCCCGGCGAACCGATTCGCTCATCGTGAAGCATATTCGCGCTCGTCTCGTCGCGCGGGGACGATTAGCGAATTTCCGGCCGCGGCCGCTCGCGCTCGGCCGCACCGCTCACGGTGTTGAAATTCGAGTTCGAGTTCGAGTTCAAGCGTCGAGTCGCCGTCGACGCGAGCGCGACAGTTCGAACTGTGCCGCGCAACCCCGTGATCGACCTCCTCCCCGTCGATAGCCTCGCTCGACCGACCGCGCGACAGTTTCACCCTCGACTTCAACCCTTCAACCAGCGGGGCAGCGCGAGAAACGACTTCCGCCATCTGGCGCTGACAGTCGGCCCGACCCGACCCGACCCGACGCGACGCGACGCGACGCGCGAGTATTCACGCGTGACACGACGAGACCGAGCCAGTGTGTCTCGCCCTTTCCGTTAGGATAGTTCGCCGCTTCACCAGGACGGGGAGGCAAACTTGGTCGATCGAGGCCGGCGTGAAGTGTGCGGAACGTGCGCGCGCGGAAAAGCGCACACGAGGTAGGAACGAAAGAAAAGAACACAGAGAGCGAGAGAGAGAGAGAGAGAGAGAGAGAGAGAGAGCGAGAGAGAGAGAGAGGGAGAGAGAGAGGGAGAGAGAGAAAATTCCCGCCCGTAATCTCGGTGAGTCTATTTTCAGCGCAACATCCCGCACGCCGGCGTCCGCGTTTCCGTTGACACCGCGCTGGCCGGCATGACAGAAGGGAGAGTGAAGCGAGAGCGCGTCCCTCGTCTCCGTCGTCGGCGTGTCCTCGCGCGCCGAAAGTCGGCCGTGAAGCCCGACGAACCGCGGCGTTCTCGCGGTATTTTCCGCGGCGCGGGATAATACAACGCGGAGTAGCCGATTGAGATCGTGAAAATCGCGAGAGCGAGCAAGGCCCGAATCTTGCGGCAGAATCTCTGTGTGAGGCAGAGCGGAAAAATAAAACAGAATTCAACGCGAGGTTTTTCAGATCGTGACGACCGATAAAAACATGACTTCGAGGCGAATTGGACCGGTCCGATACAACGCGGCTTCTCGAGACGCGACAGATTGTTGCAAACGTGCGCGGACGAAGGGGGAAGAAGGGCTAGTCACCGAGGACCCGTCGACGGAGCGTGCGTGAATTCGTCAGCATCGAAATGTGATGAGGACGACGACGACGACGCGTGCCGGGACGAGAGGAAGACGCGCTCTCGCGTCGCACCGCCTGCTTTCGCTCCGAGGAAAATCGCTGTCACCCGGGGATCATCTTTATCGAGCAAGACGCGTCGCGTAACTGGGACGTATCCGCACGAGAGTCCAAATTCACAGCGTGTTCAGCGGCGATTCATCGATCTGTCCGTTCGGATATTCGTTGTTAATTGTACAATACGACGCTCTACGACGTGAAAGACCTTTCCGATCTCAAATCCGATTGAAAGGTATGAGTGTGTAGATTCTGACACCGGGTGAGCTGGCTTTCGGTGCTTTCTCTCAGTGCGCGAATGACAAGAATTCGATAATAAATTAGTAAACTGGCTCCAATGAAGGAGCCAATGAAAGTGTAGAGGTACGTAACATCATCTGGATAACACGTTGGAAGTTAAACTGTCGTTTAACGACCGATTATCGCGATATGTTCATGACAGCTGAAAACTTATGTGTCCTCTTCGGTCTATTTTGGCAGCCGGTCCAATTCGCCTCGAAGTCATGTTTTATCGGTCTGATCGGTCACGATCTGAGAAACCTCGCGTTGAATTCTGTTTTATTTTTCCGCTCTGCCTCACAGAGATTCTGCCGCAAGATTCGGGGCTTGCTCGCTCTCGCGATTCTCACGATTTCAATCGGCTACTCCGCTTGAAAATTTAGCCTCGGTTCGAGGAACTTTGCGTTGAATTATTTTGATATTATTTCGCTATTTCGCTTGAAAATGTCATCTTGCTCGCTGGCGCGCAATTGTGAAATACTTCTACATGTGACTCACTTTCTGCACGTGGCTCGTTTCCGCAGTGATAATCTTAATTACACCGCATAAAGGCTCGCGCTTGTTCTATAATTTCCGACACTTTAATACGAGCGGGCCAATTGCAAGTTTCTCATTTATCAGAATGCGAGCAGTTTACGCACGATAATTTTACATTTAATGTAAACGTTACATTTTATTATGTGCAATAATTTCACGTGCAGTCACTCGGGAAATGGGCAATTAGAAATAATTGGAAATAATACACTGCTCAAAAGAATTATGGCGTAGATAATTTATTGCCGAAAATTGGCCAACCTTGACTGGCGATTACTTCGCGAAAAATTATTGTAGACTAATGATTCTTGTTTCAAAATGAAGCTTGAAGTCTCTGTTTTAAGAATGTATCTCCATTTTTTGCACGCGATACACCCTTAATCCCTGTAACCCCTGACATCTGAGGGCATGTTTGGTATACCGAAAATTGCAAAGTTTGACAGAATGCACGGACGTGGACAATTTTTTTTCGGGGACGCCGTTTGCATCGTCATAAAGTTCAAATCTTCCCCTTCAATTTGAAAAAAAAGTGGAGTCGCTACAATTTTTTTTCGCCCTTCAAAAATATCGTTGTTTTTAGCTTTCGGGCCAAGTGTGCACGCATGTGTGTGTGTGTCCGTGACAAAAGAAATAAGGACTCCGTGACTCGTCACAATCGATAATTGGACTGTTTCCACAATTGATAATTACTGATCAATAATTACTGATCAATAATTACAATCAATAATAACCTACTTTGGCCCGAAGGCCAAAAGCAACGATATTTTTAAAAGGCTGTAACTTTGAGAAAAAATATTGTAGTGACTCCATTTTTTTGCAAATTGGAGGGAATGATTTGAACTTTATGACGATGCAAACGGCGTTCCCGAAAAAAAATTGTCCACGTCCGTGCATTCCGTCAAACTTTGCAATTTTCAATATACCAAACATGCCCTCAGGTGTCAGGGGTTACAGGGGTTAGGGGTGCATCGCATGCAAAAAATGGAGATATATTCTTAAAGTAGAGACTTCAAGCTTCATTTTGAAAGAAAAAAAGAATCATTAGTCTACAATAATTTTTCGTGAAGTGATCGCCAGTCAAAGTTTCCAATTTTCGGCCAATTTTCGATAATAAATAAATCTATGCTATAATTCTTTTGAGCAGTGTAATATCGGGCTGTTCGCCGACGCGGCTGCCGCGCTCTTTGACTCGCGCGATGCAAGTCGAAACTTTGGCCGACGCAACGCGGCGCAGGCTATTTCGATTTCCGCGATGCATACGTACATACGCACGTATGTACACGCGAAATGCGTAATAACTCGTACGGCCGATCGATACCCGGAGCGTACAGGTCGATCGATCGCTCCGCGCGAACTGGCCGACATCCACGTGCAACGACGACGATAAGTGCGCCGTCGCGTAATCAACGCATCAGCGGCGATGCTGCCATTTTCGGCACAAACGCTGAAATGCAAAAAAGTTGCCTCAAACCCAAATAGTGGAGTTGCTGTCTCCGATTTCCATACGCTCTTGGCACGTTGTACGGGACTCAAAATAAGGGACGCTTCATCCTTTAAGGGGACTGGAGGGTCAGATTACTGCAAAATCGTGCTTGTTTTTGATAATGATTTTGTGACGAACTGAATAAATATGCAAGAATGAAAATTTTGCATATATTTACATAACATGAATATGAAGAGTAGAAAAATTTTGTTTTTAAACAAATACTCATATAAATATACGTCCACTTAAATTTTAAACGAGTTTTTCTCGAAAATTTATTGTTCAACTTTTTGCAGTGATTTCTCCGAAACTGAACTTCGTATCGATTTGAAATTTTAAAGCAATAATATTTGTTCATCTGGCTCTCAGGTGAACCATGGACAACTCCGTCAAAATATTTCATTTCGAGATATTAATTTTTTTATCGTAAAAGAATTGAAAAATTTGAATTTTTTCCTAATAATAGCTGCCATTTTGTTAATTTTGTCCGATTTTTTTTTTTTACCGTTTTTAGGTTCACCGGATAATGATAAGCCTCCTCAAGATTTCTAGCTAAAATTCGCTCTGATCGGACCATCGGAGAGCCGAGATATTATTGCAAAAACTTGATAACTTGAAAAGAAGAAAGGAGAGTGTATTTCAACTATATATATCGTATATTTACACGAGTATTTGTTAATAAACAAAATTTTTCTACTCTTCATACGTTGTATAACTTTTGTATAAAATTTATATCTAAAATTTATATCTAAAATTATATCTAAAATTCGCATTCTTGCACATTTATTCAGTTCGTTACAAAATATTATCAAAAACAAGCACGATTTTTCAGCAATCTGACTCTCCAGTCCCCTTGAGAAATGTGGGAGACTTAAAAAGTGAAGTATCTCTTTGGGGAGACCAAATTACATTTACACCTCGGAATATCTTGAAAACGTAGGAAGCGAGAGCTGTCCGAAGCGAAAGTTTGACGATGTTAAAAGTCTCCTGCTGGATTTTTCAGAAATGCCAAATCCCGAGGGAACTTTTGAGATAATTTTTAAATGACACGGGGCGTCCAGATTTTTGGCGCATCCAGTCCTGAGTAATTTCGGTGTGTAACAATAGCGTGCTCATTAATGTTTCAAATTTAACAAAATCTCGCCGCTATAGGATTAGCGATCTAAAAGCGTATGTATACTAAAAAAGCGTATGGATTCTAAAAGCGAGCACTATCTACGAGAAGCGTTTATATATACACTATCTATAGCTCGCGATTACGTTTAACCACACAGAGATAAACACACCGACACGGCGTATTCCGTTTATTACGCTCGCGTTTTTTACTCGGCAAATGGAGCGAATATCGTAGCGTCATCATAGAACACTAAATTCGCTCGTTTTTCGTACAAATTTCCCTCAAGCGTGTCGTTATGACGGGCTTCAAGATGGCGAGTCCAGGAGGACGTGTCTGCGGCGAAGTATCAAAGATTACGCGGAACAATTCTAATTGGCCGCTTGGAGATTTCCTCAGCGCGAAACAAACCGAGAGAGAACTTTCGCTCGCGATTGCAAATGCGTGTTCGTGCAAAAAGAAGGAGAAGATCGGAGCTGAGACAGATTTTATGCAACATACTGGCATTAATAGATGTGGTGGCGCAGGTTTATTTGCGTCAAGTCTTGCACAAGCATTGACATTTGACGCGGGCGTTCGCTTCGACGTACACCTGAACGCGTTCCAAATCTCGAAATTCACACGCTCGGTTGAAACTCGCCGGGAAGCGGAAAGCCCGCGACCGAGAATCGTAATCGTCCTCAGAGGTCAGTCGCGCGTAAAATTCTCCGGTTGGAGCGACAAGGAGCGCGCATTTTCCTCCCTTCGAGATTCGCGCGAGCCGAGATGAGGTGGAACCGGTCGCTCGGAGCTCAAGCCGTGTCGTCTTTCCTGCCGAGCGGTAAATGTTAATGACGCCGTGAGCACATGCCGTCTCTCCGGAATATAAGCCCGATCGATGCGCCCGCTTCGAGCATCCTTGGCAGCAAGGGTAATCGCGCTTTAAGTGCAAGTCCGCGGGAGTCGCAGGGTTCTATCGCGGGTTTCGCGAATCGCGAGTCGCGAGTCGCGCGCGCGAGACACCGGGTGAATCGCCGGTGAAGCAAACGGAGAGGATCTTCACGGTCCGCGCGAGGATTTCGCGCCGAAGGCGATCCTCGCGATCCTCGCGTGAATTGGCGATAATCGCCGTGGACGATTTCCCTCCGCTCGCCGCCGCGACTCTCGTGATTGTCACCCGATCTCGTCTCGTTTTCCACTCAGCGTGAGTGAGTGAGGTCAGTGCACTGCGACTCGGCAGTCGACGATAAGAGAGCCCCGCGAGCTCGCGTCTCGGGAGGTTCGAACTTTGCTCGCAATTATATCACTCGGTAATTATATCGCTTATCGTGAGACGCGAGTTATCGTCCCCGGCTGTCATCGCGCGGGCTGCTTAAGAAGCGACGTTAAACTCGGCCTTGACGAACGTTTGATCGCGCCTCCGATGTCCGATCGATCTCGCGGGAACGCGGGGGTGGGGGGGGGAGGGGAGGGAACGCCTCGCGTTGTTACTGATGAGCAGCAACCTGGGGAATTTTCGTCGCCGCGCTGGCCGATATATAATTCGGCATCGATGAAAATTCACATTCCACCGGTGCAAATTTCCGAAACAGCACCCCTGTTTCGGAAACGAGCCGGGGGAAACGATGACCGGCACCGTAGCGTCGCAAACGTAGGCGGGAAAGATGAAAAAGGGAGAGGAAGAAAAGCCGGATCTCGCTGTAAGAAGTATACAACACCAGTAACACCGGTTCGCGCGAGGAGGACGAGAAGGCGAGAAGGGGCGAGGAAGAAGGGGAGGAGAAGGAGGAGGAGGAGGAGGAGGAGGAGGAGGAGGAGGAGATTGAATCAAGGCGCGTCATCGCACGCGCACGGCGAAGTACACGTACGGCACACGTTCGATCGTTTGTCGGTAAAGGGCGTCGCGAACCCGGCGGAAAGTAGGCCCCTCGGCTGTATAACACTTCCGAAGTGCAAAGTATAGCCGGCCACCGCACCACAACCACCACCACCACCACCACCACCACTATCGCGACCCAGCAGCGCGACGAGAGAGACATGTGTGTTCGGCGCGGCGCGTGAAATATTAACGGCCGCTCTTGCCGTTGTCGGTTGATGACCGTCACCACGGCTGTATCGATTTGAAAAAAACATGCGGCACATGTGCTACCGGTGTTACGGCTCCTCGAGTCAAGGATACGCAATCGTGTCGCGGGGGCGCGCGCCTTCGGGTATGCATCGCGACGGCACGGCACGCGCCGGCACCGTTTCGCCGGCATCTACTTCGGGGGCATCGCGATTTAACGATTGCGCCTCGGACTCTTCGGGGACGAGAAGCGACTGCGGCGGACAGTCGAGGCTGGCCGCCTCGACGGCAATCCCTACGGCTCCCCCGCGATGTGCAAATCTTCGACTACTTGCAGCCGATGCAATGCTGCACCGAAGCTACCTTTGCTTCCTCGCGCCGAGCATTAAAGTCTGATCTACAATATCAGCTCCTGCTTGCTGTCTTCTACATTCTTCGTCTTTCTCTATCTTGAGACATAAGGTTTAAGTCAAGAAGAGATAAAAAGAAAGAAACAGAAAGCAAAGAGCATATTGTTGGCAAAGCTTAACGATGTGATTTCGATTCCAGCGACGCACCTCCCTTGACCGTCAGACCTCTCTCACTGACCGATCGATCCTCTCTCGATTTTCGTCCGGTTGAGAGTTCGCGCAAGTGTAACTTTGCTCGAGTCGATCGGATTGGTAGTCGTCCCCGAGTCTGCTCGATCGAGCTGAACGTGTATTCCGTTCTCAGTCCCTGCGAGTATCCTCCAATATGAATATATATCTTTGCAGATATTGTCGGGCACGAAGCGTCGGGATGGGCACGACGAACGCACAAACAAACTCGAATCACACGAGGAACGAGGTGCAGCTGAGCGGCAGTTCCATCGACGCGTTCTTCGCCGGGACGGTGATCCTCGTGACCGGTGGTACCGGCTTCCTGGGTAAGGCCTTGCTCGAGAAATTGCTGCGCTCCTGTCGTCGCGTAGCCACGATCTACCTCCTGATCCGCTCGAAGAGGGGCCAGTCCATCGAGGAGCGCTGCAAAGAACTGTTGAAGAATCCCGTACGTAGCTGCGAAATTTCCACGAGCGACATTTCCCGTCCCGAAAAGAACAACGTCGGTCGATCACTCGAGGTGAAAAGTGACTCTACTCGTACAGAGCGAATAATTTGGCGCGCCATTGCAGGATGAATCCGGGCAGGAAAGTATTCGGGACGATTTCCTGTCGGAGCAATTCACAATAGAAGCCCAGGGGACAATTGAGCGATTCCGATCGGAAAGCTTTCCGAATAGTCTCTCGTAATAGTCTTGCGGGATCTGGGATTCCGCACAGGAACAAATTCACTCAGATCGATCGATCAAGCAGCACGCTCGCCCACGATGAATTTTCCACTCGTTCTTGGTATTTCGACTCTCTAGAATGAGACTTAATCATGCGGCACTTTTGTCATTATTACGACACACACGTGTTATTCGACGAATTAAGTTTCGCGTGTAACGTGGGCCACCGGTGGCCCACACGGTGTTACGTAAAATTAGCTTGAAATGTGTTAATACGTTCGCTATTTGCGTCACACGTGTCTGTCTCAACGATCTCTCACGAGAGAAACGAGAGAGCGTCATGTACGTGTGACTGCAAATTAGTTTTTTTTTCTCTTTTTACGTCCTCATTGCGATATTAAGCCTGTCCACGCGTTTGTGATCAAAAGTTTAATACAGATGATAAATATAGGTGCAGAAGACAGGTGGCCTGAGGTCGCAGGTGGGCTCCCGAAATAAGTCTGATAGCGAACGTGTTAAGGATACATTTTACGGCTTAACCCTTTGACGCCCGACTTTTTTACAAGTGTTTGAAGAATAAAATTAGAGTTTTTTTGAACTAAGACTATAGTAGTGATAACCAAAAAAGATATTAGAATTTTATATTGGTTTTTTTTATCGTTCGTTTCGTTTTTTGTTTATTGGTAAATATGACTTGGATCCTAAAAGCATATACGAAATGAGCAACCTATACAGAGAGAAAAATGAAGGGTAATCTATACGACATAACTCTGATAGTCAGCTTGACATTTTTGAGCTGAAACTTTATTATATTCGTGAGTGAAGTCTATCATGCAGAGCGTCAAGCTTACTATTTCAGAAGAATATCTTATAGATCACCATTTAGTCAATCGTCCCATTATTTTTCGCCGCATAAAAAACTGTAGGTCACCAGGTTTCACGAAAGGTTGATTTCTTGATTTTCGTGTCCATCATATTGGATTCGCCACTTTGAATTTCTGTATTCTTTGAATTTCACATTTTGCATCTGAGAAAGCTTCCAAATGTACAAAATTATAACGGATACCAATCTATTCATTTATAATGCACTTCTAGATGTCAGTAACAATGCTAACTATGCCTACTTGAAATTTGACAAAATATGTTATCATTAAAACTGAGCTAAAAACAGGCTAAATCGAATCTACATACAATATACCATTTTTTAGAAGAAGAATTCACCTTTACAGTGGTGCAAAGAAAACGAAAATATCTTCTTTTTCGACCAAGTTGTGGATTCTTAAATGCGTTTCTGGTAACTATACTGGTAACTATAGTTACTAGTAGGCGTTAAAAGGTTGAATGGAACACTTAATCTTGCAATTCCGTGTGGCGGTGTGTTCTTTCTTCCGTGATCGCCTCGAGCGGTTTGTCGTTCGTTTGGAGATGCCACTTCGAAAGTCTCAGTCTTTTCAAGAACAAGATCATACACGCTCGTGCTTCCTCGATGCTCTATCGAGCTTACATTGTCCCCTTAACACCTTGAATACTTAACGTCGTGTGCCATATTTAGCCCCGGAACTTGTACACTTTAACCCGCGCTCGTATCCAATTGATATTTCTTATAGACGCGACGCTTCAACGCTGGTGTCGAAGCGATAGAAATGTCATGAATATCTCAAACGATAGGAAATGTCATGAGTATCTTAAACGAAACGAAAGCGTCATAGGGAGAAGTTTCACTCCAAACGACTCACGCTCTTGTTCCCTCCTGCTGCCGTAGATTTTCGACAGGATTCGACTGAGCTATCCCGGCGCCCTGGACAAGATCATTCCCGTGAAAGGGGACATGGGCATGCCAGAATTAGGTCTTCAGCCTGACGACAAGGATATGCTGATACAAAGAGTCAATATCGTGTTCCACGTTGCCGCTACCGTGCGCTTCGACGAGCCGCTCAAGGTGGCTGTGAATCTCAACATAAAGGGCACGGATCGTATACTGGATCTCTGCAAGTGCATGAAAAACCTCATCAGCATCATTCACGTCAGCACGGCTTACAGTAACGCGGATCGGCAGGAGATCAATGAGACCGTATACAGGTGAGTTACCTGGAGGAGGTTCTTCCATACCGCGATACTCCGTCCACCCCCAATTTCGAAGTCAAGTTGTTGAAGCGAACATCTTCACGCGAAACTCAAGAGTGAATTTGCCCAAGAGAAAATAATCGTTACATAATTATGTAAAAATTCACATAAATATAATTCAGAGCCACAAGTCGAGATACAAAAATGTCTATTTCATCTTCGTTTTCATTTTCTGCCGAATAATCTTACCATTGTCTCGCTGAGACGCTTCACTCTGATCGATCGAAGTGCTCGTTTGTGTCAGTGAAAAATTCAATTCTACGTGACCGTTATGTTTGGAATCCTCGAGCTCGAATCATCGTCGTCTCATAGTGGCAGATGTCCGTCCGCTTCGCAATTACATCGTTACATTATTCCATCTGTCGGTAGATCGCATCAAGGCGGCGAGTTTATCAGAATGAAACAGAGACGTACTTGCGATGGTTAAGAATGGAAATATGCAGGTCATAGGTACAAGCGAAACGCTTTTACTTGGAGATACTCGGTTCGATACTCGGTGGGTGGCGAGGGGTGCTATACGTGCGTTCAACGACGATCATTTCACCCTCGCAATATTTCCATTGTATACTTCAATTGTGGAGTGTGCTTTTGCCGATTCGTTGAAGGTCTCATCGCATTTTGCACAAAGATATTTCATGAAATATTAGTCTGTTTTATATGCTGAATAGAGAGAGTTTATATGCTGAGTGCTGAAGAACTATCTTCATTGAGAGCATAAAAAATTACATTATTAATTAAATAAAGACACATAAGAATAAAATTATATACTAGTCGAGTAAATTTAGTGTTTTTATTAATTACCTTATTAGTATTTTTGTTTAAAAAAAAAAAAACACCTCTCATGTACCGCTAATGTTACAGCACGCAGATAAAGCCGCACACGGTGATCGAGATGTGTGACAATCTGGACGACGAGATGATAAACGTAATAGAGAAGAAGCTGATAGGCAAACATCCGAACACTTACACACTGACGAAGGGCCTAGCGGAGCAAATTGTGTTGAGCAAGGGGAACGATTTGCCCATCGTGATTGTACGGCCGAGCATAGTGTGCGCTGCGTATCAGGAACCGTTTCCAGGCTGGATAGATAATACATGTGGTATTACAGGTATAATCTGCTTGTGAATGAGCGATTTCTGTTTGTATTTAAGACCCAAGTAGCGTGTAACAAGTGGGTGAAGCCACGAAGAAATTAAGTCGCTCGATATTCTCTTGTAAGGCGCAAAAGCTTGAAGTGTGTTCCGTCAGTTTGTGGAAACTTATTGGAGATGAATAGAAATGCTAAAATTATGACAAAGCGATTCTTCTCTCATTTCTGTAATATATATATATATATATATAATTGTACATGTTTGATTGTGTATTTCATTTTGTATTTTATTTTATTTCATTTTTTATTTCATATTTTACTTTATATTTGATTCGATTTTATGTTTTATTTTATTTCATTTCATTTTATTTTATTCTTCTTCTCTTTTGCCTCTTTTCAAACTTAAAACCAAAATGAATTTAATAAATTTAAATAAAATTTAACCTCGATAGATTCGACAGAAGCAATTACAGCAAGTGAAGAAAATCGATAACTTTGAATGAATAATATGTACAAAAGATGTTCAGTTGCGCTAATTATTAATCGATTAATTCTCTTTTATAATTAATAACAACAGTAACAAATGAGTTTTGCCATTCGACAGGTATAATGGCGGAAATGAGCAGGGGTATCGTAAGAACCGTCGTTTGCAACGAAGATCTAGTGGTAGATGTTGTACCTGTCGATTACGTTATTGACACCCTGATCTGCGCGTCTTGGTATAACGCCACCCAACGCACCAACACCATAAAGATTTACAACTGCACCAGTAGCACGATGAATCCCATCAGGTATTTAATTATCTCGAGAGACACCAGCGGGATTCTGTTGCAAACAGCCAAAGTGAATCTAATGCGAGGAAATATATTTACTATAGTTGGCGCGAATATGGATCACTTTTGAAGAAATATGCGATACAGAATCCGTCCAAGTACGTGATGTGGTACCCGGGTTTCACGTTTAGGACAAATAAATTTCTTCACAGCATATTTGCGACCACGTTGCATGTCTTGCCCGCGTTTGTTCTAGATCTTATAATAAGGATCCAAGGTGGTAAGCCAATGTGAGTATTTTCTATCGAATTCTGTCTGCAACAATAACGCCTGCTATTTATATATAACTCTTTCTCTTCTCGTTCCTTTCAGAATGATGAAGATTGTCAAACGATTGGAGCGCGCGGCTCAAACCGGAGAGTTCTTTGCGATGAACGAGTGGAAATTTTATTCAGGCAACATGACAGAATTGTTGAAGTTCGTGACAGCGTCGAAAGATTGCAGTGACTTCAACCTAGATTTCCGAAATCTTGACTGGGACGCGTACTTGCACCAGTACATGTTGGGGATCCGAAAATACATCTTCAGGGATGATCTGAACACGTTGAACAAGGCGCGAATGCGTTTGTTAAAGTAAGTTAGCGAACTATGACTTGGTTTCACACTTACGACAGATAAATAAGTGAATAATTGACTTCTTACAGGTTATACTGGATACAAAAATTAATTCAGACATTCAATGTATTCATGTTATTATGGATGATCAGATCTGCCTTTCGGTGATATCATCGAGAACTTTTTGTGCCTTCGTTGCTCGCGATTCATGTAACACACTACGTTTACATAAAGTTTTACATTTATCATATCAAAATCTAATGACACTATGCGTCGGCAAAATGACGTAACACGAGGATAGACGTAATTTACACATGGGTGGAAATTACTTGACGCGTAAGAAAGGGAAACAAAGTTTCTCACGCTTCATCTCATGTAACTCATTCTTGTCAGACACAAAGTCGCACATGAAAGAAGGAAACAGATTATTTGTGAGAGAGAGAAAAGAAAGTAATGAAGATGAACATTCATCTTCATTCCTTTCTTTGGATTTTTCTTAACAGTCAGGGTTCTATTTACCTGCATGCTTAAACCGAAGCTCCAGAGCAAGAAGGCAAAAGAGAAAGGGAAAGAAATGGCAAGGAAAGTTTCCTTCAAACGCTGTAAAATCCGTCATATATTGTTCCTCTTCTTGTATCTTTCAGAATTTACACTGTAGAAGCTTTTTGAAGAAAAGAAAAATAATAATTACGACTCTGTTGGAAAGTGATATTGTTGAAATCGATATGACTGCGAATCACGCAGATTCTCACTCTATATCTTACGATATTCAAGTACCAAACAGGCCTTTTGAATACTTGTCGGACCAATTCTTATGCGAATATTACGTCCCTATTAACTCTTAATATTACAATATCAATAACCGAAGTTTTTTCGATACATGTAAAGACTGACTCTAATGGAATATTCTGAAAACGATATAAATTACGCTAATTTTGCGCGTACCTAATTATGCGTTGCCTTACAAATACGAACGTCGATATTGAAAATGAGTTATTTTTACTAATCTATATACTTTTACAATAATCACGATCAAAATCGGTTGACTTTCCTATTGTGTCACCCTCGCAGGCGAATGGAAGATGAGGGCTGAAATAATTAAAACTCGTTCATTTTGCGAATTGCAAGCGGCGTTAATAGAGCGCGATATCACGACGATATTTATAGCGACAGCTTGTTATAGCTTGAGTTAAGTTATTAACATTAACGAAGTAGTTTCCGTACGATGGAGTCAAGATGTGAGTGTGTGGATATTAGGTGTGTATATTTGTACATTGAAACTAAGTAATATATAATATGCATCCTAACCAGAAGTGATTCATCGAAACGACATCGTTAACGTCGAAATGATCTTTAAACAAGAAACCTTGAAAGAATATAAAGTTATTGTATTATTATTATTATTATTATTATTAGTATTATTATATGTTAGACATATATGTTTAAAATGTATGAAACTCTCAAAAAAAAGAAAACTCCCTATACACACGAAAGCTCCAAAATTTCGAATTAACAACTTTCGACATTACTGATGTCGTTTCGACGAGTCATTTCTGGTTGAGGTACGGATATAAATATTTCATGTATATACATTTACAGGTTTAGTTATCCAATTATTATGTAGAGGTTATTTTCACAGACGGCATATGTTGCTCCGCGGTTACGTGCGAAAGTATACCCAGGCAAGACAGAAAATCATGATGACGTCAAAGTGACGTTAAGTGATGAGGAATACTCTTTTTTTTTTTTCATGATTCGATCATTTCCTCGTTATTTTGACGTCATCACAATTTCATGTTCTACGCGGGTAATGTTGCCCACGATTGTTAATTCTAAAATTATCCCAAACACGATGGGGATTACGATAGAAATTATACGACCACTACGTTAGCAGGCAAATAACCGTTGGATGGAACTCAATCGAGAAGGAGAAATTTCGTCCACTCATTGGTAGATTGATCTCGGATAAATTTGCGTATGATTGACCGAAATTTCTCCCTTCTCTTCGTGCCGAACGTAACTTTGAAGGCGCAATTTTAGTTGAACGAGCACAATCATCTTTCTTTTAACATTCAATATTCTTGCGTGCGTGGCAATGTATCATAAGATATACACATACCTCAATAAATTAACAGGATATTTGTTAAGCGACACCTCATAATTTTATATAAATCAAAGCGCATAAAACTATTGTAATACCTTTGTCATACATCGAACATGTGTGTACAAGACTTGTAATTACAATGAACAATATTTTACGTGACTTGTTCTCATTGTAGATGCATCTCGATGCGCCTCTCTTCATTCTTGCTGCGCTTCCTATATTTGACAAGCCCGACAGTGTGTGTGTGTGTATGTTCGGGATATTTTTATTTCTAATGTGTGTTTATGTTGAAATGGACACATCGCTCAAGTCGCTCGGGAAGCTCAGTTCGACCATTGTTAGTCATGATTATTGTTGAATAGCTAATCGTTCGTTGCAATACGCGATTGATGAATTACGAATATTACATCCCGTTTTTGGAATGATAACGTCTTATTACAAACTCGCATGTAACTATAAAAAATTTTCATATCAATCCAATTCATATAAATCATCGTCACATAAATTTTCGTTAAATCCAATTTGGTTTGCGAATAGAACAAATTGAATACTATTAAATACTTTACTTTTTAACAAAATAAAACAAGAAGTTAATAAATATATAAGTTAATCAATAAAACAAAAATAGAGCAATAGAAATAAAATAAACTGAAACTTATTTCTAAAAATTATTTTTAATAAAACAAAAAATTAATAAATCGTTGCCGATTTGATACGCGCGTTATTTCCCTCCATATTTATTTATTACTGACGATGAAAGATTCAGAAGGGATAAGATTTGTGTGTGTGTGTATGTATTATTCTAAGATCTGCTCGAAAGAGTAAATCCTATATCTTGTAAGAGGAAGTAGAGTGAGCAAGAACCGTACACGCTTTGCCGTTACCGTCAGGACGGAATCCTGAAGTCAGGATGTAGTGTGCACACATTTTCTCAGGGAGCGCGTCGGAATTCGGCAGAAAAAGCATCCCGGCGTAATCGGCCGCTCTCAGGGATTCTCTCTGATGCTCATCACCGTCGATTTGTGACGCGATGCTGATCGCATCGAACATCTGTATCAATATAATGAGCACATGGAAGTTGATACAGCGACGGTGTTACGATCTGCTCTCGTATAAGTACTCCTTGCTCGTGATATTGTTGGCGTTCACTTGCATATTTATCGGCATAATACACTTCGGAGAGGTTAGAATATAACGCTCCTGTCGCTGCACGGATTATTTGTTCACTTTTTGCGCGTGACGCGAATGTCGGTATCCCGGGACGCGTTAGTCCTTCGATCGAGGTCTCTTTACCTCCACGATTGCATGTACAGTATTTATACCGTTGCCGATGTTTACCTTCACTTTTGGACGCGACGTCCGGTAAGCCTAAATTGACTCTGGTCTGTTTCCCACAGGTGTGGCTGACATGGAGCAAGGAGAAGTACGAGGCGGTCTTTCATTCCTTCAACGACAACATCCTGGGGGTTTCCTTCCAGAAGAAATTGTGCCAGCACGTCCCTATAGACGTGGTTTACACATGGGTCAACGGTTCAGACCCACTGTTCCTGGAGAGTCTCCGGAGACATGTCCCTGTCGTGGATCTCAGTGCCGCAGCCTCGAGGTTCAATGACAAGGATGAGCTGCGCTACTCGTTGCGCTCGTTGGAGATGTACGCGCCTTGGGTACGGCACGTTTACATCGTCACTAATGGCCAGATACCGAGCTGGCTGGACATGGATAATCCACGGGTGACTTTGGTCACTCACGAAGATATCTTTCCAAATAAAAGTGATTTACCAACTTTTTCTAGTCCTGCTATTGAAAGTCATATTCATAGGTGCTTGGAAATACATGTATACGTAATAGACACATATATTACAGTTAACGATGTATGTGGAGTATTGCAGCGATGCTTTTCACTCTTCCAGGATACCTGGAATATCGGATAAATTTTTATATTTCAACGACGACGTCATGTTGGGCGCAGAAATATGGCCAGAAGATTTCATTACTCAGGCAGGTGGACAAAAGGTTTATCTGGCTTGGTGGGTTCCTGATTGTTCCGAAGTTTGTCCATGGGCTTGGGTTGGCGATGGATCATGTGATCGCGCTTGCAACACGACATTGTGCGAGTTTGATGGTAAATGGTGAAAGGAACTTTTTCTGGAATTTAACAATCCCAAGATAATCCGAAAACTCGAGTTTCAAAACTTCAACGACGAATTTTGTCTCTGTAATGTAAAGATTCGCAACATGACTCCATGCAGGTGGAGATTGTCAGACGACGGCAATTCCCTTCGACAGCGAGGCGATGGAAGACGAAAACGACTACCCGTACAAGTATCTGCAAGACTCTCGTGAGGTCAATAGCAACCGACTGAAATTACTAGACGCCTTACGCAGCAAGAATCCACCGTGGGACGACATGGAGGTGTCTACGATTCAAACGTCGCTCGCGCAGGACCTTAATAGCTCCAAGTCGCCGATCCTTGCGTTGGGCGACATCAAGGATATCAACCTTTCAAAATCACGAGTACAACGCGATGCGGACATGCAACATGCAGCCGACGGAAGGGGCAACAGAGTCGCATTGGCGAAGAAATCCCACGACGCCCTGCGCTTCAAGCTGTCACGCAGGATCATCTCGGTCAAGACCACCACGAGTCGTACCGAACAATCGAAGCGAGGCCACCCGAACGACGACATCGTGAACCCAGCACGGCCGAACGGTCCTGCTAAGTTCGGCAAGTTCGCGTACTCCAATCAGTCGCGGCACTATGCTCGAGGCCTCGATACTTACGCGGAGTCCTTGCTGTATGTCAACAAGATCTACAATGCGGTCTACGGGTTCGAGCGAAGGCGAGTGCCGGCTCATATGCCGCACCTGGTAGACAAGTGGGTGGTGATGAGCATGCAGCGGAAATTCGAAGCCGAATTCAAGAAGACCTCCGCTCACAGAGTGAGAAACTCCGAGGACATGCAGTTCGCGTTCTCTTATTTCTATTTTCTGACCAGTGAGAAGCGGAGGGTGTCGATCGAAGAGATATTCGACGTCTTCGATACCGACAAGTCGCGGTAAGGCACAACAACGTGATGAGATTCCGCGGCATCGCGGATTCCCGCCGCGGTGAAGCATCCCAAATCATATTACCCAAGTCATTCTTTCAGAACTTGGTCGGACAGAGAGATAAGGACGCTTCTGTCGAGGCTGTACCCGCTGCCTCTCGACTACAACCTGGTCATGGAGTTCGAGAGCGCGATCACGAATTGCTCGCGTCGCGCGAACCTGCCGGATATCGTCGACGTGCCGCCCGGCGAGAGATACCTGGACTCGACTCTCGTAAGTGTCGAAGCGGCACGGTGTCGCGATGATAACTCTAGACGGTCTAGATTGTATATGTAGCAAACTGGAGAAACTCTTCTGCGCTTCTTCTTTGCAGCCGGTAGTTTCTAGAGAACTGATCTCCAGCTGTGAATCAGTCTCTAGGAGAATGTTGTCGAGATTCGGCGTGAGCAGCCGGTACCCGCACGAGGTGATCAAGGCCGGCAAGAACGAGATCTTCGAGATGTTGACGAGCAACGTCTCGCTGACGGTGCAGCTACTCGATGAGATCCGACGAGATCCCAAGTACGTGTCAGCCAGTCTCCGCTTTAGCTCTCTTGAAATTTCAGTTCACGATCTTGCCTTCTTTCAGAAAGTTCATCTGCTTGAACGACGACATGGATCCCAGCCGGCACTCCGAGAACGAGATCGTTCGCGCTCTGCTGAATGACTTCTATCGCTCCCTCTATCCGCTGCGTAGCACCTTCGAGTTGCCGGCGCAGTATCGAAACCGTTTCTCGCAGCTGCACCAGCTGCTCGAGTGGAAGGCGAGTCGCGCCAAGGCTAGGAATCTGCTGCTGTGCCTGGTGACTCTGTTGCTCGCTCTCACGTTCTACCACGTGCTCTCCCATCACATGCGGAGGCTCTGCCGAATCCGAGAGCTACCTACGCTTCTTGTGTGAGAATTATCCGACTATACGGATGAGATATTAGTCAAGTACTACGGTTAAGTGTTTCTCAATCGGATAGGATCAGGATCAGGCGAGAGAGAGAGAGAGAGAGAGGGGATCTCTATCCGGTAAGAACTTCCAGTGTTGTTCTCTAAAACTAAATAAAATGATATACCTCTCTGTGATACGGCGAACCAACAGTTTTGTAATTACATTTTAATAAAGAGTTCGATTCTAACGGAAAGCCGTCGAAGCCGCGGGTGCCGCCTGTGCGAGTTATGTACAGCGCTTCCACGTCGCAGCCGCGCTCTACGTATACCCGCGCGATGCCTGTCATCACAAATCCGACGTCGCTCGCTGGTGCACAGGTGGGCACTCCGTGTGTCGGATATTTCGCGGACCGACCATACCCTCCTGAAGCCTCGCGCACTCTGTCATCCACGCCGCCACGCTCGCGACTTGTTCGGCTGACAGACGCGCTCCTATACCTGCATTGTGAATTTCAGGTTCAGTCGGATTTCGCCGGATTGTTGAGATAATCGGGCAGTCCTGTGTGTGCATTGGCTGCACGATCGAGAAGTTCACTTTGATTTCTGACATCCATTTTCAGATCTAATCGTAATTATGATTTTATCTATAACTATATAAATTTATCATTTTTAAATCCATAATTCTAATAATGTATGATTTTCCATTAAAGATCGACGACTCAAAAGATATCTGAAAGTAACTGAAAACAAAAACTATTTAAACGTCCGAAAACCTCAAGAATCGGTAATTTTTAAGCGTCATGTTTCTCTCGTAGAAGACTGCCGTCGAGGAAATCCAAAGCCAAACTTGACTTATCCAATATTACAAGCTCACTATTGGTGGATTTCTCCGAGAGTACGTTTGACGGGAAATGTCCGATCGCTTACCGGGCACATTCAAGCGGCACATGGTTCTCGCGTCATTCTCAGTTCCGGAGAAGACACTCCCGTCGCTGTTGCTTGCGTCCTTCGTGCCGCAAAACCTCCCGCCACTCGTGGTGCTCTTACCCGCGCGATCCCTGCCGATTGAAGCGCCCAGTTTCTCCTCCCTGTCCAACGAACTGCTTCCCATCGGTTCCGTCGATAGATCGGCTGCCGGAGGAAAATACGAATACGTGAGAGGAACTCGGTATGACAGCTCAATGCTAGACAACATCGACAAAGGACAACGTACTCTTTGAATACGAGTCGACCTCGTCCTTCGACATTGATTCCAGATTAACGTCCGCGTCGGTGTCCTGGCTGTTCACGGAGGATGTGTGATGGATGGAGCTGTCCTTGCGTGTGCTTGTCTCTTCGTCGCAGGAACTCTTCTCGTTGGAACCGTCGCACGCCAATCCCGCCAGGTACCTGTCGATCACAACAGTTACTACGTTCAGTCGAGAGAAGAGTCGGAAGAACGTCTGTCAATGTTGCTATTCCGTCGACTTGCTAACTCCTCGTGCAACATGCGTGTCCAAGAGACGTCTCACTGCTTCTCAGTGACGTCTTCAAGACGTCTTAAGACACGTTTATGTTCTCCGAGCACTTACTCGTATATCTCTATGAACAAACTGAGCGGAATCATCGCGGAGCCGCCGTCGGGCTCGTGGCTGAACAACTGGCAGACCATGATCATCGTCTCAGTGAGGTTGCTACCAAGGAGACCCACAGCGATAGCCAGGAACCTCTTCACTTGGCAGTTACGGCGAAATTGGCCGATCGTCGCGATCGTCTGAAAGTCCCGACGATCCAAGCAGAGACAATCCCAACAACGCGCGATCGCCTCCAGGGGTAGAGTTTTGTTGTAATCTGCAACGAGAAGTAATGAATAAGTTGGAATGTTATATCAAGAGTGTGAGCCCACTTTAGATTTCTCAATTTAAAATTCGCAGCAGAGTCTAAAACCAAATTCTACTCGTATTTTTTTCGTCTCGTTTGCTTCTTGCTGGTATTTCTCTTTGAACTTGTAATTAATAGAACTTGAAAATCATCGTGTTTTGTAATATATTGTTAAAATAACAATAGCAAGAGAGTGACTATTTGTAATTACTGGTACAAATCATAAATAATAAGGTCGAAGAGAAACGCAAGCAGAACTCTACTTGCGAATTATAGATTTTTTTTAAAGCGGGCTCTCTTTCCTCTTGTTCCTCTTCGTCCCAATTGAGGAACGTCCCAGAGCGACGTCGTACTTCCAAATTGTCGCAACAGCACCCTGAGGAAGCCCAGAGTCAGACCGGAGGCGGTACTTGGCGGCGGATATTCCAGTCGTGACTTAGCCGGCGGCTCCTCGCCGTCCGCCAACGCGCGAAAGTACGAGCTGGACCACTTGAGCAGATCATACGGCTGCGTACGGATGGCGGCTTTACAGAACTGCTTCAAGATCATCGGCAACTTGGCCGGCACCGCGATATCCCTGCCGGACAACGGCAATTGCTCGACGTAAGACATGCTGCTGACGGCGCTACGTTGTCCTTCGTTCGGCGAAGTCTCTGGTCATTGTTGTGCTTCCACGCGATGCCTCCGTTACCCGGGAAACCGACGGCGATGGGGTTCGGTGCGGGCGAGTGCGCAAACTGTCGTACCTCTTTTAAAAAAGATTTTAATTACTTGGTGATATTGTTGCGCAGCCTTTTGATTACGTCACACTGCGCACTGATGCTTTATTTTTTTGCAGCTTTTGTTACAGGTTTGTCGTGTGTTGCTTCAGCTTTTTGTACTTTTTATATCTAACACGAGACAGAAGCATATTCGAATGTTGAAGGAAGCAAGAGGAGATGAGGAACGTTCAAGCAACGCAACGGACTTATTATAGTAACGATACATTTTTATGTCGTTGATAATTTGTATCGCATTAGTAATCGAAATACAATATGGTTTAAACGTCCGCGTTATCTTCATCGTATTCAAAACAGTCGGTATTGTCATCGTTCTTCAATTACTGCCATGTTATCGAACAACTCGGTTGTCGTGTGAAATGTTTCGATTTGACAAATTCATGTAAAATGTTTCATTTTTCACTAATTGACAGAAGTCTTTCGCTTTCCACTAGTTCACGCTAGGGAAAAGATTCATGATCGCCTGCAACGCTTCTCCAATCATCTACAGGGTGTCCCATTTTAAAGGACCTACTCAAATATCTCAGAAGCATTAATGCGTTAAATCGAAAAATGCTTAAGACAAAAGTTGTTTAGCTTGAAGGGGGCCGTAGGACAGCGATAGCATTTTCTTTATAAATGGCGCCACTTTCGAGATATTCACTGATTATCAATTTTCTTAAATGAAAATCTCAGTTTTTTGTTATATCATCTTTTTCTACCAATTAATTTAAACAACTTTTGTCTGAAACATTTTTTTATTTGCTCAATATGTTTTGAGATATTTAAGGAAAACTTGGTAACTTTTCCAACATTTACCTTACGATGTCTCGCCATAACTATTCGTCGAAAGAAAAATTAGTGTTAGACTTTTTTACTTTATTTACTATCAAAAATATACCACTATAATAGTGCCCTAACTTTTATTAATTTTGAAATTTCCAAAGGTCGATAAGTTAAAATAAAAGTTAAGAAGGCACTGTTACAGTAATATATTCTTGATAGCAAAATAAAGTAAAAAGGTCTAATATTATTTTTTCTTTCGACGAATAGTTAGTGAGATATCGCGTTACAAACGCGTAACAATGTGCGAGACCGCGCTTGTCAAGTACGCTGTTATGGTTTTAGCACGGACATAAATCGCCTGAAAGTGGATATAGCAAGGACGGACTGCCACCACATACAGCTTTTACCGCCGAGATCTGAAAGTGGATGTAGTATCGTAGTCCCCCTCTTAAAATCGATGCAGATGGCGCCCTTTCCCAATGCGGAAAGTCGGTATCGCCAAAAACGCCGTGTTGGCCGCTCTCAGCTTCCTCTCTGCAGTACGCGCACTATAATCTTCTTACTCAACGTTCGATCGAGTAGGTGGCAGCGGCAGCGTGTGTGTCCATTTATTCGTACGTAAAAATGGCGGATAGCAAGGGTGCGTTTTTGTGCTTTTCTAAATTTAATTATGTGTCCATATTATATACGCATGTTGATATTGTAAGATAATATCGAGAAAATTGCTATAGATTCTTTGCAAATTCAGCCCACGTCGAGCCACAATGTAGCGATTTTTTTACGAGATCTTCATCCATATATGTGCTGACGAAGCTGACGTGCTAACCGTTCGCGATATCAATTTTAATCGTTTATTTGTACTGTATTCATAGAGGGTGCAGAACAACCGGGCCAGTCATCGCTTATCCTGAAAGTCGACCCGCCTGAGGACTCCTCGAGAAGCTCCGCCGAAAATTCGGGGTACAGTAATTCCACCACGTCAACCGAACGAGGTACAAGACTCGTGCAGTTTCTTTGAAATATTAATATCTTATGTTGCTTGAAAATATGCTGCTCAAAATAACGAAGGAATTACATTGAACGAATAGTTTCATCATGTGATTCTATAGCTTGAACTAGATGTAAAAGCATACAATTAAAACATGGTGTTCAGCCTCAGTAGGTATTTGCTAAATTGCTAAGATTAGATACTAAGAGATGTATGCAATGCTTTGAATATCTACTGAATGATTTTTATGAATGACTAAGTATCTTTAAAGAAGTGATCTCCTGTTTGTTCTAATTTTTTCAAGAATGAACTTATTAGAATCGGAAGAAAACTAATTTTTAAGTTCTAAAGTCCAACAATCATTGATACAAATATAAGATGCATCGTATAATAAGATCTTTTCCTTTTTGTCTAGTTTTGTGGTATGAATATTTTTCTGTAACAATGTTCATTATATCTTGTTGACAATGTTTAAATTAAAGAAGAAAAATTAAACATTCGAATGCACATGCATATAAGCAACATCATTGAAAAGATTAAGCATTGTTCTGTTCAATCTATATCCTTCATAATATACTATATACTATATATAATATATTATAAGTGATATTAATCTTTCTGATAGTACAATGTGAAATATTTAATTAACGATATGATGTATGTTTTGCAGATAAACTAGAAGGTCAAATGATCAAAGAGCCAAGTGATCAAGAATCAATGCCTGTAGCTGTTAACTCTTCTAATAAAATAAATTGTGAGTTTATACAGCATTTATATATAACTTGAAAAGCAAAATTTGTCATGTTGAGTACGAGATGCATTATTGTGTCTTAACGTACATGTATACTTACAGGTGTGCTAGCTGCTTCAAAATTTGGAAACTCATTTGGAACGAATGAATTCTCAAATACTGTAATTAGTAAATCAAAGTCATCTATATTAAGGCCGTCGCAATTAAGCTCAGTTACCAATAGTTCTTTAGGTGCTAATGACAAGACCGTTCTGCAACCTTCAAAATTTAACAATCCATTCGCAAAAGTCACTGACAGTTCTGTAGAAGAAGATACGTCCGCAACGCAAAGCAATAGAATCGAAGCGAGCAAAGATACTAAGGACGAAGAGAAGCCCGTGGACGAGGCGAAACCAAAGTTTTTGCCTCTGGATATAAGCACGAAAGAGAACGAGAACAATGTAAATAGCACTATGGCACCCAGTGCCTCCACTCCTAGCTTTGTGTTTGGTCAAAATTTAAAGGAACGTGTCACTGTTTCGACTGATACAGAAAGTTCGGACAATTCGGAGAAGGAAGAAGCGAAGAGTGATACGAAAGAAGAGACCAACGAGAACGGATCGTCCGAACTTTTATTCTCAAACGCAGCTGCGGTCTGCCGTACCACCGTCAGGCCAGGTTTAACCTTAACCCAGGCGGCGCAAGCACTGGAAGAAGCTAATCGCGCTAACAAGAGAAAATATAATCAAGTGACACTCTTGACTGGTGAGGAAGGGGAAACGAACGTCCTACAAATCAATTGCAAATTATTCGCATTCGATAAGGTATGCGTATTAGTTTTAGTTTTATTCAGGAATTATTAATGAATTGAGGATTATTTATGGAGAGATAGAGATTACACAAAAATAGATAAATTATATTTATAAATTTTTGATAATATAAACTATTTTAACATGGGATTTTAACATGTGAGCATCCTTGATCACCGAGTGGCTAGTACTACAGTGCTATCCATTAAGTTATATATAAGATACAATTAAAGCACTTGAAAAATCGGTTGTACAGTTAATAGACAGTCAATGAAACGATGTGAAAAATAGATACCTCAAATTTATTTATTCATATTTTTGGCAACTCAATCACCAGTTGAGTTTTTGTACAATTAACGATGGCAGAGGTGTTAATAAACGACATGTCGTACGGCGAATAAGTTAAGGATACAATAATCCGAATATAGCTCGTATTGTTCAATTATTTACTCTGCTCTTCGTGTTGCAGACCACTTGCAGTTGGCTGGAGAGAGGTAGAGGTACGTTGCGATTGAACGACCTAGAGGAGGAGTCTCGTTTGGTCGGCCGTACCGCCGGTACACAACGAGTGATCCTGAACACAAAAATATGGCCGGGCATGACCGCGGAGCGGGCCGGCCCCAAGTCTTTGAGGCTTACTGCGATGGAGATGGGCGACGTGCGAATCGTCATTGTTCAGGCAGCGCCCAAGGAGATCGATCAGCTGCATATTCTCCTGTTGCAACGGCTGAAGCGTGCCCAGGAGCGCCCGACGACGAAGAGGCTGGCGACAGAACACTGACGACCGATCGGGAACTTTGGCGACCGGGCGTTGGTCTGTCAGCTTAATTCATGTAACATAGAGGTCACTAACACGTGAGAAGAGCTAAAAATCCTTCGGAGTATAAGGCCCTATCTAGTACGTGCGCAATAGAATGGCTATGATTTGTGCCTTCCCTCAGAAGTCGCAGTCTCATCTCCACTCATACCACCTTCCTCCAGCAGTTGGCATCAGTATTCATCGAGGAGCCTGATGAGGAAAACTAAGTCGTCGCGGCACTTGTACTAAGTTGGATTCTTATAATTATTATTTTTTCTTCACATACATACATATATATATATATATATGTATGTGTGTTGTATGTATCTTTCTTTTTTAATTATTTCTCATTATTTGCTTTTCTTTCTATCTTTCTCTCTCGCTCTTTTTCTCCGAGAACCGAAAGCCTGTCTACGATCATTCCCAATTGACGTTCTTTTATTTGAAATTCACGATGTTTCTTACAAACGAAGGTGCGTTCGTATGCGTGCGTGTGTGTATGTGGTGTGTGTATGTGGTGTGTATTGACGGGAGCTAGGTAGCGATTTTTAAGAGGTAGCATAATAATTATCAATTACACATAAGTCACAGAGGAAGAATTATAAAGTAACTAGTACTTTATTATTAGCTGTTGAAGTGTATCTCTGCGTAAAAGGAAAGTAATAGGAAGAGAAAAATGAGATGTGAAGGGATTACAACCCGCGTACATTACGTATCGCGTGTGGACGAGGAATTTGAATGAGTTTACATTACGGACCGTGTGTACGTGTGATCGATACAGCGAGCTATTTTTTTCCAAACGGCGATGCGTCACAATTGCTCGATCTTATAGATCTAACGTCGATAGCTTTGAGCATAGTGTTTATCCATAAGGCTGGAAAAGGCGCGAAGGCTAGAGAGGAACGAATCACGCGGTTTCCACGACTCTCGCGTACGCTATACATGCGTGCGTGCGTGCGTGCGTGCGTGCCATGTCGTTGTCACATGTGTTTTAATCTAAAGGAAAATTTCTGGGAACGTACAGCACACACACAACGGCATTATTAATGTATATTATTATTATTATTATTATTATTATTATTATTATCTCTTAGAATATTACATAATTATTATTACAATTATAAATATGCTGTTTTATTTTAGATGTAAATAAAATCCTCGCGAGGACAAAGCGATGGCAGAAGAGAGAATTCGGCGACGCTCCTTTATTTTATGTCCTGCGCGTCACGGCTTGATGATCGGCTATTCTTAAACCTGAATCTCTGATTTCACCTAGCGAGATGTTTACCTTACGAAGCTCCTCGTCCTCTTTCTGCACGTTGCATAAGCCCGGCATGCGGAGCTCGGAGGAAGTCACCGTTTCTAGTTGCCGTGCTGCGATTTTCAGTGAGAAAAGAGAACGGAATCCTCGATAGAGGGAGGAAGAGATACGGGAATATTGACGGTCGTTACTTGAGTTTTCACTTGTATTTAATAATTACCGATGAGTTCCGAAATTTTGCAGCTGTGTAACGCGGCGCATAGAGAGAATGCGCTGTATCGCATGTTAATCGCACGTTGATCGCACCGATAAATCGAGACGCCGTTGATGCGTACGCCGCATCCTTCTTATCCGCTTATGGCGCGACGAAGATCGTACATCGTGTAGAACGGCGTGTCGGTTAGAATGGGCAATAAATCGAGTTCGAAACAATGAGATCACGAGCCATTTGAGCCCGCCATGGGCCATTTATTTTTAGGGAATACATTTCGCGCGATCGTTCTCTCTTCTCTATTCGTCGGTGTGATCGTTTCTCAAAGATAGACAGCCACACAATGCATTATCTCGCCTCCGATCCGAAAGAAAGGAAAAATCGATGCAAAACGTAGCGATTTCGAGTGAGAAATCGCTACGAGATCGAAACTCGACATTGAAATCTTTCGTTTTCACAGAGTCGCGGTGGCCGAGTGTTTCTCGCGAGAAATACAGTTTGAAGATGGGTTCGACCTTGCACGAGGAGTTCTCGAAGATTGATAGCTGCCTCTCTCTCTCTCTCTCTCTCTCTCTCTCTCTCTCTCTCTCTCTCCCCCTCTCCCTCTCCCTCTCTTTCTCCCGTACGCCGGATACCATCTGCATCGACTTGCGAAACGCGCGTAACCAAGCGTGAATCTTGCGAGACGTCGGGAGAAACGGAGAGACGGACGGAAGTAAGAAGCCAGAGGGAGAGAGCGAGGGAGACAGAGAAAGAGAGAGACGTTATTGCTGTTTACGCGTCGATTCTCATTTTCCAGTCTGGAAAATACACCGGACTGATCGAGCCTTGCGATATTTGGCGCAGCTGGCGCGACGATCGGGCGGACGCTACGGCGGGCGGCATTCAACAGGCTGATATTTATAGACCGGACTTTCCTGCAAAATCTACCAACGCTTTAGGCGTCAAAATCCAGTGGCCGCGTTTGTCAGCGAGTACGCGCGTATGATCCGGCGAATTCGATGTTGACCGATGACGCCGAGCGACCACGACGACAAGTAAGAAGAGACGGCGCGCAGTACACCAAACACGTACAACGCCGGCAGCTTCTGGTCCTTTAACGCGGCGGACAGAGCGGTGCGATCGCCGAGAAAATCACGGGAATTCTAATGTGAGACCGAGAGAGAGAGAGAGAGAGAGAGAGAGAGAGAGAGAGAGAGAGAGAGAGAGAGAGAGAGAGAGAGAGAGAGATCAAGCTCGCATCACCGCCGTTGCCGTCGTCGTCGTCGTCGTCGCCGCCGTCGTCGTCGTCGTCGTCGTCGCGCAGCCCGGTCGTCCGAAAGCCACCTCGGCCATCCGTTTGTCAGTCTGGTGGTGTCGTGCGACTTTGGACACCACTGTCGTCATCGTCGCCGTCGGCGAGCCGCGCCGAGTCGTGTCGGCCGCAACCGCGACGCGAGCGATTCTTCTTCGTTCTCCGAAAACCGCCGAAGAGGAGTTTCGGACGAAGGAAGAGAGAAAGAGGGGTGAGATGAGATAAAGAGAGAGCGAAACACCCCGGAGACGCCATGGGGGGAAGGTGCGGTGGAACGTCGCGCCACGTTTTTCCGCCGCGAGTGATCGCTCGGGATCGGAAAGCGGGTCAATATCATTCTTCGATCTATACATAGTCACGTGCGCGCACGAGGATACGACGACGGCGACGACGAGCGATGTCGCGCGCGCGTTCCTATTTCACGTGGAATGTCTTCTCGCCAAACTCGACGCGCCGCCGAAGTCGCGTCTCGCGCCTCTCTCGCAATCCTCGCGCTCGTCGCCGCGGACGACGACGCGACGCGCTCCGTCAGAGCGCACGCAGTTGACGAAAGCGCTGTCGCGCGTCAGCCTTTCGTTCGTCAGCCAGCAGCCAGGTCGCCGTGATTCCGCGCGGAGGTGGACGCGCGAGACCGTCGGCGAGCGCCGATAAGCGAGCGCTTCGCTCTTGTAACGACAAATTGGCGATGCGAATCGTTTGAATTTATGCTCCGCAGCGACGCGGTTACAGGCGTTTTATCTTTTTGCAGAGGAAGAGCCCGGCTTTCTTCGTCCTCGACCACAGGAAGAGGAGTGATTTATGTCTCTGACAAAGAGAGGGAGCAGTGGATTTTGTCTTCGATGAGAGGAAGGAGCGGTGCGATTATTGTCCTTCGCGGAAAGAGACAGCAGTGATTTTCGTCTTCGACGAGAGGAAAGAGGAGGCCGAAAAGAGAGAGAGAGAGAGAGAGAGAGGGGGGGGGAGAAAGAGCAATCGCGCGAGTGTCGCGAGCACGACGAAATACCGATGGATTATTAATCCTCGAGGAATGCGCGCACGTACGAGGAGGAGTGACAGAGAAGGAGAGAACAGATTCACGTCGGATTCTCGGGACTGGCCAAAAACGCGGGCCCCGTTGCTCTCTCTCTCTCTCTCTCTCTTTCTCCCTCCCTCCCTCTCGCGCGCGCGACGTTCCTAATTTTCCCAAAAATATACCACCGCGGCGCACACACGGTCACAGTCATCACCGCGGCACGCTCGTCGGCGGCGCTGGACCTACGTAGGTGGAAGAGGATGCGACGAACTTGACAGCCGGAAGCGTATTTCTCGCGACACTTTCGCGCGCGCGCGCGCCGATGACGCGTCTCGTCGGCCGATGTGTCGCGCGAGATCTCCCTATCTGTCTTCCCGTCTCTCTATCTTACTCCCTCTCTAGCGTGGCGCGCGCGCGGCGACGCGCGATGAGCGATTATTCCCGAGTGGACGGTGGCCGTAGGGTGAATCGGCAGGCTGGCCGGTGAACCGCGAAACCGCCGGCTACATTTATTTATAGTGACTCGGGAGTAGTTTCGCGGCAATTCTTTTCGCGTCCACTTTCGCGACCTGTCCGCCGCCCGCCACCTCGATACTCGTCTCCCACGGCGACCACCCGGGCTCGGTAGCGAGTTAGCGGGCAGGACCTCGTGTACACCGTGATGGATCAGCGCTCGCGTCCTCCTGATCTGATCGGAGCCGCTCGAGCTCGGCGAGAAGAAGCGGCGCGCACTCGACAGCAGTGACGTTGTTGATGCGCGAGGGTGACGCGACAGCGAAGACGACCAGCGTACGTCGGGAGACGACGGCTGCTGAGGCCGCCGAAGATGATGTTCACCGGTGGCTCGCACGCCAAGAGGCGGAACGCCGGCGGCGGAAGCGGTAGCGGCGGCAGCGGCTCGACCTCCGGCAGGAAGCCCTCCGTGGACCACCGGAACTCCTCGTCGCGCGTCGCCACCGAAGGATACACGTACAGGTGAGCCGCCCGGTACGTAAAACTCGCGGTCCACGTTCATGTTCGAGAGAGCTCCTGGGATCGTAATATCTGTTTTTCCGTCGTTAACAACGTCGGTGATCATTATATTTTCCATCGCATGTCTGCGATGAATAATGATTAGCGATTTGTTGCCGTTCGAGCAACGAGTCAGTTTTCGAGGTATCGCAGTCATTCATAAGGGGTTAGAGTCAATTTTCCAATTTGTTGACGAGTTAGTTTCTTCAATAAGTAACGATAAAGAAAATCATTAAAGTAGAAGAAAGATAATCTTTCTAAATCTTTCTAAATCTGTGAGACGAATGGCTTGGTGATTGAACGACCGTTTCAGGACGAGAGTGCCGACGTTCCTGAATCCCACGGAGCTGCCGCCGACCACCTCGGCCACGAGCAAGACCTATGTCTACAAGACTCGAGTCCCCCGGAGAGACGCCGCGTCGTCGGCGACGACGTCCCCGTCGAGGCAGAACAAGAACATCGGACGCGCCATCACGCGAAGAAGAGGCGCCGTTAAGCACAACAAGGTGCACGTGGTGCGCGGCCACAAGCTCGTGGCCAAGTTCTTCAGGCAACCGACGTTCTGCGCCTTCTGCAAGGACTTTTTGTGGTAATTTGCTTGAAAACTCCATGTACACTTCTACACCCGCGGTCTTGACCCTTCTATTCTCTGCAGGCGACGCGAAGAAACATTTCTTCCGTTAATAATCGTCCGTTTTGTATCTTCCAGGGGTTTCGGCAAGCAGGGCTATCAATGTCAAGGTAAATCCTCAATTTTTCATCCCTCATCTCGTGTTCCCTTATCTCGTGCTTCATTAACTGAACAGGGTTTTTCCGTTTGTCGCAGCGTGTCAGACGGCGGTGCACAAGAAATGCCACGACAAGCTGCTGACGAAATGTCCCGAGAGCGGGAGGGAGTCGGAAAATACAATAGTAAGTGTCACGTTTCTGCGACGAGACGACGAATATCAGTAGGCAGGTGGAATCGTGCAAAATTGATGAATTCAAGATGATTGAATCATATAAAAAAAATTATTCAATTACTCTCATTAGTATACTGAGTCATGTTAATGGAATAAAGAATTATCGTCTTTCGTGAACGAACATTAATCGATCAACCGTTTCAATTCAGAATGTGTACTAAGAAAAACAAAAAAGACGTTTCAGCGATTCGACGGTGAGGCAGACAGCGTGTCGGGCACCGTCGAATTTTCGCTACCTTCGCCCTGATCACTCGCGGATAATTCTCTAGAGGTCATGAACTGAGACCATTTCTTCGTTCCATTGCAGTATCTGAGGGAACGCTTCAAGATAGACGTGCCGCATCGATTTCGGACACACACCTTTATGTCGCCGACCTTCTGCGACCACTGCGGCTCAATGTTGTACGGGTTGTTCCGGCAGGGTTTGAGATGCGACGGTAAGGGAGGCTTGTGTCGTCATAGATAGCCTAGCGCAGCGCAAATCGCGCCTTCAGAGGTCTTTCATGCATCTTGATCGGCTCAGACTGCCCCGTTCGCGTCTTGATCCAACGACACGGATACTCGTCGACTCGTATGACATAGGCGCGTTACACGTGTCACCTAATTAATCAGCGCTCGCTTACGAGGATGTTATATGCATGTGAACGTGCACGTGGCTCGTATTTGGCATGTTTCCCCTGTGTACATGTGTTTCCGCCTCTCTTAACACGCTTCTCTCCAGCAAGTAAAAATAAGCTCTTTAAAGTTAAATCGCTCGGGACAATAACGACGACTCATTATTCCGCAACGAGACGTTCCTCAGAATCAGATTTTTATTCATAAGAAAACATCGGACGTAATTTCCAAGATCGCCGAGCGGCCCTCACATTGAGACGCTGAGCACGAGAATGTGCGCGTTTCTCTGTTTGAAAAAAAATCAAACCGACGAATCTCGCCAGCGAGGCGCTCAGACGGAAGAAGCGGCTCCGAACGAGGAGCAGGAGCACAACTATGAAACCCAATTGCGTGAATGATCGAGCGGCGCGGCGGCGCGTAAATTCCTCTCCGGGCGATCCGACAATCATAATTCAACGAGCGCGAATCGTAGTCTCGCGTCGGCGAGGCGCGCGGCAAGAAAATTCCGCAGAATTGAATACTCGCATACTCGCTAGTCGTCGGACACGACGGCGTCGTGTACCTCTGTCGGTCTCTCTTCCCGAGCCGACTGCAGCCGGCCGTTTAAATATCGCGCTGCGTGGAACGTGCGCGACGCGCGACAGTCGTCCCGGCCGATCTCTCGCACCGACTGCTATGTGCAGCAGCAGCAGCGGCAGCAGCGGCGCGGCGGCAGCGATTATTTATTGTGCATACACGACGCGTACAAATGCGCAAAGCTTACTCGCCGCATTCCACCGTCGCAATTACCAGCTGTAGAGTAGCCGCCGTCGCCGTCGCCGCCGACGACGACGACGACGACGACAGCGGCGGCGGCGGCGGCGGCGGCGGCGGCGGCGGCGGCCACGCGCGGGTTATTAGAGTCTAGGTAGTATAGTTAGACGCTAGGGAAGCCTCATATACTAGAATTCTATTATTACGCCGGGTCGCCGGCTTAAACTCAGTTGGTCTTGGCTCCCTGAACCGTGAGAACACGGCTGCTCCTCGCACACCTGAAGAGCGGCGCGTTCGCGGCCGGTCCCCGAGCGCCGGAGCGCTCCTCCGCGACACAATTCTTCTCAGTCGCCTGTTCGACCGGCGTGCCGCGCGATCGTACCTTCTCTTTCTCTCTTCTTCTTCTTCTCCTTCGCGGAGCCGTGCCCGTGCGCTCGGTGTGTACCTGGCCCGTTGACGCGCGCACAAAGGGAATAGAGTGCCGCGAGGAAGATGCCGTACTACAACGACGTGCCGTACTACTACGGGGCATCGTACGCGAATCACAGCTCGCTGATGACGGGCACCGGACGGTAAGGGCGTGCAAACCTCGTCGGCGAGGTGGAGACGCGCGAGACAAAAGTGTTTCTTCTTTCCGCGCACGGAGGGAAAACGGATCGGCTGCGTCGACGGGGAAATGACCGAGCACCGAACGCGTCCTCGTCGAGGGCGACGGGATTTTTCGCTCGTGCGAACCAAATTCGGTTTTTTCCCTTTTTTTTCTTTTTTCTTTTTTTTTTTCTTTTTTTTTTTGGGAAGCGGAACTCGCGCTCCGCTTCCCAAGAAACTCGTAAGGACGAGAAGAGACCTCCTGTTCTTTTCTTTCGATTGCCGCGTCGCTTTAATTTTACTTTATCGCTCGCAGTCGCAGCCAACTTTTTTCCTTCGCTGAGCGTTCCAACATTCGCATTCGTATCCGATGAGAGGGAACTTGTTTCTCGGCGATTCGCTCGGCGGGAGGCAAATTTTCTCGCGGGACACCGAGGCCTGTATTAATAGTTGTTACTTGAAACTCGTCTCAGGTACGAGACGCTCAGATCTGAGTTGAGAATCTTGCATTAGTTGCAAAGTCACAGTATATCGCGTAATTCAGCGGGAAAAGCCGGAATAAAAATCCGATTGTTCCACAGGAGAGAAGACGGGTTTCACGTGTCAGCTCTTTTATTCATTCCATTCGAAATTAGAACGCCTCTCTAATTACGTTCTTTTGTCTCGTCCTCGTCCGCGGTTCAACCAAGCTTGCGCTCGATTTAGGCAATGGTTCGCCCAAGTGGAAATTTTTCTCATGGCCGTGCCGCGCGCCGTGCCGGACTGCGCGATATTCGGCGGACTCGGCGAAACGAAGGAAGGATGTTTAGGAAGTAAGGACAAAGAGAAAAAGGATGCAGTCGCGACGCGAAATTTGCGCAACGCTATAATTATGAGCAGATTTCTCCCTCGTCCATCATGCGCGCGGTCTTGCAAGTCTTGGCAAGACGAGGCCGCGGCGTATGACTCGCCGCGAGAGTCCATCCATCATTGCGCGACGGCGGTGCGACGGTAAATTCGGGAATTGTCCAAAGAGCAGGATCTAATTTTGCCGTGTTAAGGAGAGAAAGAGAGCGAGCGAGCGAGCGAGCGAGCGTAGCAGCGGACGAACGAACGCGTAAATTCACGATTCGCGTTTCTCGCGAAAGTTCACAGATATGCGCGCATTTATCATAAACCACAGGGAGCGTTCACCACGAAGCAGCCGATGAGCTGCGACGAAGGTCGCGAGGATCGCGATTTCCCGCTTCGATTTCGCCGCTTTTTATCGGCGGCAAGCGCGCGATTACGCAAGCGCCGATTGAATCCGCAGTCGCGAATCGCGCGCGGTGTGTGTTTGCTCACCACATGTATCCAACAAGTGTTCGCCAAGTCGGTTTCCGCCGTGTGAAACACGTAACGCAGAGCGAAAACAAGCATCTGGCATTGGAGCGTGGGTGGGGTACGTGGCCGATCGAAGGGCTCGTCAATCGACGCGGGCGATGCTGATGAACGAGGAAGGTGACGCTGCGCTGAATCGATCGTCGATTCTCTCGGTCGTCTCGCTCTCGCCAGTCGATTTGCCGGAAACGATCTCGAAATCTTCCAGCTCGTCCGCCACCACGAGCGTTTTCAGTCCAAGCCGTCAGTCTGTTTGTATTTTACGAACCTCAGACTGGAACTGCTGGGAGCCAGTCTGAGCGAGAGAGCATCGGGCCGCGAGTGTGTTTCCTTGTACTTTTTTTCGCCTACAAAGGAACCTTTCCGCGCGTACCACTCGCTGAGAGAGAGAGAGAGAGAGAGAAAGAGAGAGAGAGAGAGAGAGAGAGAGACTGGTAGAATAACAAACGGGAGCTTGACTTGCGTCAATTGCGCGGCGACGACAACGTGTTCCCGCGGCGGTGATCCACGTCGCCGGGCGCGCCATGAGAAAAGTGTCCGCCAGGAGCGCGAGCGACGAAAAGAAAGAAACACCTCGCACGCGACGCGAGTTACCTCGAAGAATCTCGAAATCATCTTCATCATCATCATCATCATCATCATCATCATCATCGTCATCGTCGTCGTCACCACCACCATCACCACCATCACCATCCACCATCATCCCCCTCGTGTCTCACGCAGACCGTTCGCGCCGCTGTCCCGCTTCTCGCCGCACTTGTCGACGATCTCGGAGTCGCCGCTCAATCACCTGCACCGCTTCTCGTCGATCTCGGTGTCGCGGCACCCGCGGCGGGTGATCGACACCGCGGACATCGACGTGTCGTCGCCGCGGGTCCTTTCGCACGACGGCACCCGAGCGAGGAACCGCCTGCGCCGCGACCGGCCGACCATCAAGATCCGCTCGCAGGCCTTGAAGGACAATCCGGCACTGCGCGAGCACCATGAGCGACATGAAAAGTCGGTGGGCGAGCTCCTGATGGAGAAGTTCCTCATCAAGGACAAGAAGTCAGCCGACGACAATCAGCAGCAGCCGGTGCGCCTCTATCATCAGATCAGCCTGGAGAGCGAGCTGGAGGGAGGTGGTCAGGATCGCGAAGCCCTGCAGAAACGAATCACTCGCAGATTCACGCGGCGCAGGTCCTCCACCGACCTGCAGCTCGACCCGGAGCAGCTGCAGCGGGAAGCCGCGTACGCGCAGGTGCAGGCGAAGGTGCTGGACAGCCTGGTGGCGGAGGAACAGGCGCAGATCGAGAGCGAGGCTCGCCGCGGCACTCTCATCAGGAAAGGGACGGTGGTGAGGGGCTCGGTGAACGGCCACTCCAACTATTACTCGGACAACTTCGCCGATTCCGACACGATGACGCGCGAGGAGGAGGAGGAGATGGCGCTGAGGATGAGGAAGAACGCGAAGAAGGCCAAGAAGAAGAAGAAATCGATCGACAAGCCGTCACCGCCCGACAGGACGATCGCGAACGATCACGTGCTCGACAACAGACGGTCCAGCGCCTCCAGCGAGTTGTCCGTCGACTCGAAGGTCGACGAGGTCGACGAGGCTCCGCTGGAGGAGAACGGCCCGCGGCCGCAGATGTACAAGATCGAGGCGTCCAACAGCGCCGGCGACTTCTCCAGCATCTGGGTGAACACGTCCGAGAAGGAGCCGCAGCGCAAGATGAGCGTCGAGCAGTTCCGCGAGAGTGTGAGGGTCCCAATCCCCAGGAAGCTCGGTGTCGACGTCACCGCTGCGCCCAAGAGCGCGGATGACGCGGAGATGCGGGTGGTGTTGCCCGTGAGGAAGCCGTACGTGATGGACCCGTCAAGGAACAGCGTGTACTTGACGATGAAGAAACCGGAGAAGGCCCGTGACGAGACGCTGGACGAGGAGCTCGGTAGGATGCTGGAGACGGAGGTCAACGGGGTTCAACCTCTGGCGAACGGCTTCGTCGACGCTTCGGCCGATCGAATCCTCGAGGACGACGTCTCGAAGAGCTCGATGCGCGACGAGGAGTCGCTAAAGTTGAAGGACCTGGCGCGAGCGCCTGGTAAGGTCAAGGATGCAGCGGTCAAGAAGACCGCGGGAAGACTCAAGAGATCAGATGAGCCTTCGACGAAGAAGAAGGACGCTCGCGCCACCCCGAAGAGCCTGGACGACGACGACGACGACGACTCGCGCGTCAAACGAGATACCGTTATCTCGAAGACGACGAAAGATGACGAGGTTCGAGAATCTGCTAGCAAAGGTGAGCCCCCGAAGAGTACCGAGGTGACGACTGCCTCTGCGAGTTCCGTAGAATCGGGTGCTTCAACGGTCGCTTCGACGAGCGTGCGAGCGAAACAGTTGGGCTCACCCAAGGATCCTGCCGACGTGAAAACGAAGAAGGACAATGAGAACACGAAAATCGATGCCGCGAAGAGCTCGGAAACGGTCGCTGCGGCCAAGACGAAGACGCCGGAAGCTGTCGCTTCGCCGAAGGATGCTCTCGATGCGAACCTGAAGAAACACGACGAGAATCGAAAGGATAGAAGAACAAGCGGTGTCGCGAAGAAGACGAAGACGTCGGAAGACGCCCTCACTTTGCCCAAAGACGTCTCCGGTGCGACGAAGAAGAACAACGAGATCCGGAAGAACGAGATGACGAAGAAGCGCACCAAGAGCCCAGAAGGCCTCGCAGCCCCGAGGACGGACAAGCTCGCGGAGGAGAAAGCGCACGTCGTGTCCGACACGCCAAAGATCCCGGCGATGTCGCACCAGGACGCAACACCGACGACAACAGCGAGGCGGAGCGTTGTCACGAACGCTGGCGATACGCGTGAAAACATCGCCAGCATCGTGACGGTGCCCACGCCGAGCGCGACCGGTCTGCCAAAGGCATCTAAAATTAATGCGGATAGAAATAATACCGTAGAAGCGCCAGAGCTTTCGTTACGAGAAGATGAAGAAGAAGAGGTGGCGGCGGCGGCGCACCTGGCAGACGAATCGGTCGCGAACAAGAGCGAACGCGAGGAGGACGCATTGCCGGGAAAGAAAACGGACAAGACAAACTTGGCGACGAGGGATGTGCCCGAGGCTCCCACGAGGAAAGCCAATGGCGTAGACAAAGCGGGCGACTTGGCCCGCGACGATGTCGCGGCGAAGTCGAAGAGCGACGGCGCGGGCGCGACCTTGCCCGAAGGTGCGAACGACCAAGTGCGCAGCAACGAGCGGGACGAGATAGCGACGGCGGAGGACGTCGTCAGGTCGACGAGCGACACCGGTTTGACGAAAACCACCAAGTACAAAGCGGCCAGCGCGGCTTCGCGCGAATTGCCTCCGGAGACGGCCCGCCCGTCGGCGAAGAGCGAGGCGGAAGCGGCGGTCACTGGAGCGCCGAGCGACGCGTCCTTGGAGTCCGAGGACGCGAAGCCGTTGAAAATCGACGCGAAGAAGATTAGTGCGGTCGTTGACGCGGAGAAAGACGCGTCCAGAGACTCTGGTGTGTCCAGCCCGAAGGGTGGTAAAGTGTCGAAGCTCGGCGGCGCGGAATCCAAGTTCCCCTTCAAGGTGAAGACCTTTCAGAAAACCGTCGCGAGCGACGTCGGCAAAGACCCGAGCGCACCCAAGGCCGCGAAGAACGACGATGGCAAGGCACCAACGACCGCCAAGAGAGACGCCAATGCGCCGAGGAACCTGAAGAAGAGCACCTCTGTCGATTCTTCCAAGTCGACGGCCGATTTCCCGTCGAGCGACGCGAATGTCCTCCCCAAGACCTTGCAGCAGTCTGTGTCCGTCGACGAGAAAGCCGCGGACAAGAGGAAGCCGGTGAAGAAGACGCTGGAGCCGGCGAAGTTCCCCAGCAAGCTGCCGCAGAAGCAGCCAGCCACGTCGCTCGACGTGAAGTGCGAGAAGTTGAGCCAGGCGGAGCCGGCCGGACAATTGTCCAAGAGCGCGTCCGTCGAGTCCATCGACTTCTGGAGCGAGATCAAGGCGCCGGACAGCCCCAGAGCGAGCGACTCGAAGAAGAAGAAGAAGAAGCAGCAGCAGCAGCAGCAGCAAGGCGCGGTTCCATCGGGTCCCGACGCGAACGCGCTCAGCCCGAAGATCGCGGAGAAGGCGGATCCGATTTCGGGCCCGAAATGGGTATCCAGCGACTCGCCGGCTCGCGGGAAGCCGTCGACGGCGGCGGCGATAAAAGAGCCCGACGAGAAAAAGAACGGGAGCGACGTTAAAATAAGCGTCGCGACCGGCGCTACGCCGGCAGTCGCGGCCGACGACGTCGCCGAAGAGAGAAGGCCGAAGGAGAGAGCGGCGGAAGCCGGCCCGCGACCGAGGACGGAGGTGGAGAAGAAGAGCGCGCAGCAGCAGGCAGCGAAGGCGCCGCGAGCGAAGAAGAAGACCGCCAACCTGTCCATCGCGATCGGCGCCAAGGACCTGAACTCGACCGTGAAGAAGGCCCCGGTGAAGGCGAAGCGCGAAGACACTGTGCCTCCAAGCCCGCCTCGACCTGACAGCAAGGCGACGCCCACGCAAGGCGACGCAGCGAGCCTGGACACCTCCTCGGAAGGGTCCACTCCAGTGGTGGCGCCAGCGGCGGGTATTATGCCGGCCATCAACATAGACGAAGTACCGACAGTGCTCAACAGTTCCGAGAGTGCTGATCACGAGGACTACGAGGAAGTCAGCACGCCGACGAACGAGCCGGTGGACCCGACTCTGACGAAGATCTCCAAGTGGAGCAACCGGAACGACCTGACGAACACGGACGACGCGGAGACTCCGGTGGTGTCAGAGGAGACCAGCTTAGCGACCAGTCCCACCGCCAGTCCGCAGTCTTCCAAGACGAGGCGCCTGGTGAAGAAGAAGAAGTCGTCCAGCAAGAAGAAGCCGTCGACGAAGGTCGTCAACGACACGACGACGAGCGGTCAGCAGAGCACGCAGGTCGCGAAGCCGCAGCTGGACAAACAGCTGCTGGCGAAGCCGAAGTCGTCGCCCAAGGTCTCGCCGAGGTCCAGCCCGAGGAACTCGCCGTCGCAGCGGCCGCTCGATCTCATCAGGATGTTCTACACGACGCCATCGGCGCTGCTGACCGCGACACCCCGGGACCTGTCGAAGGTCCGCAGGGTGAAGATCAAGCGGCGCAAACACCATCCGTCGAGAACGCCGTCCGTCAGCAGCGACAGCACCGGCAGCACCACCAGCACCGCCACCACGGGGAGCACCGACGGCAGCGGCTCGACCTGCACCGAGCTGGACGACGAAGTCGAGCAGAAGCGGATGAACTCCACGAGGAGCAACGATTCCGGCTTCGACGGCTCGCCGAGGATCTCGAGTACTTACTTGCTCCTTCAGCCGGTTGTCCTTGCCTCAGGATCGTCGTCGGACGGTTTCGGGATCATTCCGCTTAAGCCATCAAAGGCCATGATTGCCTCATCGTCGTTTTTAATTTAAAGAGCCATTCATTTGTAAGGGTAATTAATTCATTCATTCAGCTAATAAACTGATTGATTCCATCGAAGGCAAACATTAAAGGATAATTGAAGGCTACTCATGGCCTTACGATGGGAAATCCAGAAACTGTCCGGAGGACACGACGGTAACACATCGTTTGAGTGTCTTTTGACTGTTTTCTTAACAATTTTCGTTCTTCTGCTCGCCGGCATTCATCCTGCATGCGCACGTGTGTCGGTGTAATTAACGCTGCGCGCTCACGACACCTTGATCCACCTTGAAGCAGTGCTCTCCAAGCTGCTCCGTTCGAGTGAAATTCCACTACGAGAAGCACCCGGCAGCCGAGTGACAGCCGAATGGCTTCTCTCACTCTCCTGCGTAGAGAGCGAACGAATCGGTCTGCACGCGTCGAGCGAATGAATCGTCGCAGGCAGCTGCATCCGCCGCGAGCGACTTCAGGAATTCACTCGAGCGGGTCGCGCGGCGGCTTTTCCCTAAGATCGGGGATGTGAAGAATGACAAGTTCCGCGCGAATCCGGCCACCTCAGCGCGCTCATATAACTCCCCCGAACAAAGGGAAGGCGAGGCGCTTCCTGAGGAAAATTGAGTATGATCGCCGTCCAAGGATCCGCTCGAGTTGAAGCTCACCGACGGGGTGAGCTAAAGTGTCACTCCGCTCTCGCGGCAGAATGTCGTCGCTGTCGCTCGGAGAGAATTCTCACCTCGTTTCGACCTTTCAGGATTTCGGCTGCCGGAGAGTGAATTCTGATCGCCTTTGAGACCCGGCTTTGCGTCTCTCTCGCTGAGACCTTCGCGTTCACGTCGCCTTTCACTCGCGCTTTCGACAGGATCACTCGCTCGCCGTGTGTTGGCGCTAAATTAACCCGCGACACGCGCGAATAAACATCAAGCGGGCGCGTCCAATCTCGTCCGGTGGCGAGATCTCGTTCAGTCGACAATATTCGCGGGAGGACGCGCGCGCGTCGTAAACTCTCCCGCGCTTCCCGCGGGGAGAGATCTTCTTCTCTCGTCGCTCTCCCGAGGAAACTCGATCGCTCCTCGCGGTGAGACACTCGTTTTAGCGTGACGGATCTGCAACGGCGTGTGAACGGGCGACGACTTCCTATTGAAATGATGTAAGGTCGTTGCCGCGAAGTGTCAATGACAACGCGTTTACGCGGTGAAGAAGACGTCGTCTTCTTGGCGCTAACGTCTCCGGAACAATATCCTCGTAGCGGTCTCTCCGCGCGGATAACGACGCGCGTGATAACGCGCTTAACGTCGGAGAGGTTATTCCGGACGCATGGCTGCCTTCCCGATTTCTACGTTCCGCTTGTTTTACGTGAACGCCGCGCGTAATCGTTTCTCCAGCTGCTGAGAGCCTGAAAGATGAATACCTAACGCTCGCTTAGGGATGCAACGATTTCTCAAAGTATCGATCACGACATTATCGTGATTCAGAACCGTCGACAGAACGATAATATCGATAATTTTGAAAAATATCGATATTTATATAAAGAAATGTATATATCCAGGGGTATAAAGGGTATACACGAGAAATTTACAAAGATCCTTTAAAAAATTTTTATCTTCATATAATTTATTGTCACATTCTTATTAGAGAATATATAACAAACCGCCGGTCATTTGCCGGAGATCACCGCATACATGGAGCAGATCTATTACGGTTCAACAATTGAAAACAAGTGAAAATGATGAAAATGAGCGAATTTACTAGACATCGATCAATCACATAATATATATTCCGGTGAATTCACTCACTTTTGTAATTTTCATCTCGGTCGTAGAACCGTAATAAGCCCCCCCCAGTGCTGTAACTGAAAAATACGAAATATCAGTAAAATTCATATCGATGTATCGATTTTATCGGAGACAAAAAATATCGATAAACATTCGACATTCGATCTCTCGATATTATCGATATTATCGTTGCATTCCTACGCTCACGCGTTTCGATGCGTCGAACGACGCGCGATTCAAACGCGCATAGAGCACGGCCTCAAGGTGGATCGGTCGCCGTCATGGAGCACCGCCGAGTCCTCCGCCATCGTCGCGTTCGCAGCAAGACGCGCATCAAGATGCATCAAAGCAGCGCTACGCGATCTGACGCGTTAGCGTTTTAAGCCAAGCGCCCAAGCGCACTGCATTTTATCGGCCTGCGGCCCGACGTTACCGTAGATTGCGACATGGCCTGCCATAAGAAGTGCGAAAAGCTCACGGGGAATCTCTGCGGATTAAATCAAAAGCTTGTCGCGGAGGCTTTGCAGGCCCTCAAGAGAGGTGAGTAGCGGCGCGAGTGGTGTGTGTGTGTGTGTGTGTGACCTCCGGCCCTGCGACTTTCGCGTCGACGCGTTCGCCATGCCGTAAGTCCGATTTGCGGCGACCAGGCTGTTATTATCGACGAACATTGTTGCTACCGGCAAAAGTGATTGCTGAATTCACGGGGAATTTTTATTGGAGTCTATCGATTGTGCCGAACATTTAAGGGCGGGCATTACATGCGGAAGATCATTTTCAAGGCTACTTTTATGAACGGTTTGGCAGAAACGGTAAGATCAGTGGACTCGAAGTTTTCACAGTGTATTCATTAACGTTCAAAGTACAAAAATAAAATAAATTAAATGAATTAATATAATTATAATAATATAATTACAATTATTACAAATATAATACAAATAAATACAATAATTATAAATACAAATATAATTGTAATAAATAAATAAATTGAAAAATAATACAAGAAAATATTTACGGGCTGGTTGAAAGAATTCGTAAAAATAGCCTTGAAAACGGCCTGTTCCGCCATGTAATTGTCCCTTGATTAAAAAAAAAATAAAATTCACGGGCTGGCGCGGAGGGACGAACGGCGATGGCGGACGCGTCGACCGCGCGACGTCGATTGCGCGACGACGTGGCGCGTCCCACGGGACGAACCCCGGATGAGAGCACCACGTGGCGCGTTGCACGTGAGATAACATCGCGCGCGAATTTGCGTCTAACACACACAGGTCGAATATTCTCTTCCCGCGGTTGCCGCGGAGGCACGAGAGCGCACTCGCGCACCGGTGCCGTGGCGACCGGTGGGTAACATTGGGCGGTCGGATCTATTCTCGGAGAGTGTCGCACGGCCAAATTGCACGGTCAGTTGTTTTTACGTGCCAACGCTCGCGTTCTCGACGGACGCGGGACAATTGGTCGCGATCGAGCCCGCTCAGAATCGCGTCAGACGAGCCGTCGAACGGGCTGCATGATTTCCAGCTTGACGAGGGAGAGCACACCCCATTGTCCGCGGACGCGCGGCGCTGATCGGCGGAGCACACCTCAACACGCGACGCCATCGAGTCGATCGAATTTTCTGCGAACGTACGCAGTCGACTTGTCGAGTTGCGGATTACGCAACCGGCCCAGCGGGCGGAATTCTTCACGGTGATGAACCAAACACTTCACTTCCCACGCCTCCGCTTCTAGAGGAGGAGTCACTTGACCCGGTCGTCCTAGAGACCCTGGTCGTCCGGATGTCACCTTGAAGGTAAAAGCTGACTTAAGGTGGCACCTTAAGGTTAATCTGGAAACGAGCGGTTGAGCGGAAACAGCAACTGACTCGATCGCGCGTTGAGGCCACCCTCTGCCGATCGGTGCGCAGTCCGAGACTGAGGCTCTCGAGCCGCGAACGTTAACGTTGACGCGACTGTCGTTCACCCGCAGCACCCTCGCAGTCGTCGGATAATCAGCGCAACTCGGACTCGTCGGATCACTTCTCGAGCGGCCGGATAACGCCGCCGGCGACGAACCTGCCGAGGTTCAAGAAGTACGCAGTCACGGACTTCAACTTCCTCAAGGTGAGAGAGAGAGAGAGAGAGAGAGAGAGAGAGAGAGAGAGAGAGAGAAAGAGAGAAAGAGAGAGAGAGCGATCTTCGGTCCGGGCATCTTTTCAGCGCGAAGTCCTGGACTCTGGGATGGAACGCCCCAGAGTTACGCCCTGAAGTGCCGCCGCGTGCGCCGTCGTACGCTTCAACGGCGTCTTATTAATTCATAAAACACCTGTCCCCTCGGCACAGCAACTTTTTGTTCGTCACGATGCGCTTGTGCGCGCTTTATCGCACGCGCACCGGACTGTTCCAAAATCATCAGCCAACTATTCCTAGACCATATTACGTACTTCGCGCGCGTATAATCGCGTAGATGATGCCTACGTGTGCGCACGTGTCGGTCGGCGGGGACGTTTCCCGTGATGTAATTAAATTTCGCATTTTGTTAACGGCGCTTCAACGAAGCGGTCCAAATAATCTGCGACGCACGCGAAAAGCAAGGTGAGAAGCGCGCGACCGCTCGGACGAATTTCCGCTTCGCACGAGTCAAATTCGGTTCTGAGAAGCGGAATTTCGGCAAGACCGCGGCTCGTCACTCGTTCATTCCACGAGCAATCTCTTACTTCCGCGAACGACCGGCGAAGGGGACAAGAAAATGCGGAGAAGAAAATGGTAACGCCCGGGCCTTGGTCTCGAACGCACGAAACATTCCTTTCCGATTCTCTCAAGCTGAAGCAACGCGTCGTACACGAGGCTCGTCTGAGAAAAAAACGGAATTTGGATTTGGAGGGGTGCTCGACGTTGAAAATAGCGTCCAAAATCGGGTCCCGGGAGGGTAGAACGGCGCGCTGAACGATGTTTTCCAGCGATCGCTCCGGTCCGATTCGCGCGTTATGAAAACGTCTGTTCGGAGCGCGCGATAAATCTCCCGCGTATCGTAATACAGCGAATATCTAAAAAGAACAGTGTTTACGCCGACGCTGCGTGTCGAATTTTGGCGAGCTTCCAGACGGGAGCTCACTACAATATGCTCCCGCGAAAGTTTCACGCGGGGCGCTTGATGCGTGCAAAAATGCCGATCGACGAAGTGCAGATGCGACGTTCGCTTCAACCTCGAGGTCGCAAAGTCCGCGGGACGAGTCCGTCCGCGGCCATCCCTTCGCTTCCGAGAGAATCGACCTCGCGACATTCACGAATTTTAAGATATCGAAAGGATAAAAGTATTTTACATCTGCATCAAGTCGAATCAAGGGAGAAAGAGAAAGAGAGAGAGAGAGTCTGCTGAAGCAGACAGAGCAAACGCACATCAAACATCAAGTGACATTTATTTAAATCTGATAATTGTGAAAGTGTTTGAGACATGATAAAAGTATTTTAAGTATGCTAAGGGAAATCTTAAGTACACACAGACTCGGCTCGAAAGAGAGAGAGAGAGAGAGAGAGAGAGAGAGAGAGAGAGAGAAAGAGAGCGGTCGTGGAGAGCGCGTGGCTTGGCTCGCGGCGCGCGACGAAAACTAATCTGAATCACGTGTATTTACATCACGTGAAGAGAAGCCTGGCCTGATTCATGAGGCGTCGCCAGGAAATGATCCAGCGGATATGAAGCGTGAACGTTCGATTTTCAAGTTTACGATCAGCCGCGGACACAATGCCAGGAGCACACACTTTGTCTTGACCCTCGCGCGCGATTTGTCCGCGCATTAGCGTCAGCGCCCGAATCCGCAATATTTATTCGCGAGAGTGTGATACAGGGAATCCAATTTGTACCGAGACAGAGAAACGAGAGAGAAAGAGAAAGGAGGGGGGGGGGATTTTGACTACGCAAATAGATTACCGGAATTAGTAGCGCCACGCAATGTATTATTTTTAACGTCCAGATGCGCGCGTCGGGGCGCACGTTCGATTTAGATCTCGAACATTCACCCAAATCCATCACATATTATTATTATTATTATTGTTATTATTGTACCCCAAGCTGAGCGCGAGATATCTTTGTTCGTCGGCGAGCGACCGGAGGTTGGCGAGGCATGCGCGCTATTTTTAACGCAATTCGCACTTGATTCCGCAGGTTCTGGGTAAAGGCAGCTTCGGCAAGGTCCTGTTGGCCGAGCTGCGCGGCACGGAATGCGTGTACGCGGTCAAATGCCTGAAGAAGGACGTGGTCCTCGAGGACGACGACGTGGAGTGCACGCTGATCGAGAGGAAGGTGCTGACGCTGGCGACGAGGCACCCGTACCTCTGCCACTTGTTCTGCACCTTCCAGACCGACTCGCACCTCTTCTTCGTCATGGAGTACCTCAATGGCGGCGACCTCATGTTCCACATACAGAAGTCCGGCCGGTTCCCGGAGGCGCGGGCGCGCTTCTACGCCGCCGAGATCTGGTCCGGCTTGAATTTCCTGCACAAGAAGGGCATCGTCTACCGCGATCTCAAGCTGGACAACGTGCTGTTGGACTTTGACGGTCACATCCGAATCGCGGACTTCGGCATGTGCAAGCTGCAGATCTTCTTGGACAGAACCGCCGACACGTTCTGCGGCACGCCAGACTACATGGCACCGGAGGTACCGTCGGTCGTGTGTCCATTTTGTCTCTCCTTTTCTTCCTCTCTCTCTTTCACTCGTCGGCAAGTCGACGAGCCAATTCATCTTTTCATATACCGTCTTATTACTCTCTTGTTGTATTTTATTATATACATTTTCTTAATCCGTTAATCCGCCGGCTGCGGATAGAAATTTCGCGTTGATATCAATGTTATGAATTTTTATGAAAATGCTCGAAAATTTTAATCCAAAGTACATTACCAGGGGTTTTCGAGGTCGTTCTTTCCGAATCCGCTGCGAGAATCATAAAAAATGAGTGTTTGTATTGATTTGTAACGGTTTTCTTTTTTCCAAAGAATGCAATTTTTTCTCGTCAATTTTTTTTTTAAATCATGGATTTCATCTTGATAAAAATGTTGAATATTACTGAAAAGTACTCTAATCGCTCATTTTTTTTATGATTCTCGCAGCGGACTCGGAAGGAGCGATCTCGAAAACCCCTAATAATGTACTTTGGATTACAATTTTTGAGCATTTTCATAAAAATTCATAACACTGAAATCAACGCGAAATTTCTGTTCCAGCCGGCATTAATGAGTTAAAGAGTATCTCTTTACGCATTTATCTTAAACGAATTACCTCAAATTCTCATTTGGTTCATCAACGGGGAGTATAACTCTGGCCTGAACGGAAGGAAAAATCGTTTTGTGCAAGAAGTAGAGAAGAGAGAGAGAGAGAGAGAGAGAGAGAGAGAGAGAGAGAGGAGAGAGGAGAGAGGGAGAGAGAGAGAGAGAGAGAGAGCGAGCGAGAGGAAACGTTTAGATTTCACAAATATTTGGATCCAATTTATTCTTGAGCCGATCAGTTCGCCCGTCCCCTTTTTACCGACAGATCATAAAAGGACTCAAGTATAACCAAGCTGTGGACTGGTGGTCGTACGGCGTCCTTCTGTACGAGATGCTGACCGGCCAGTCGCCGTTCTCCGGCTGCGACGAGGACGAGCTGTTCTGGAGCATTTGCAACGAGCGGCCTTTCATCCCGCGCTATCTGAGTCAAGAAGCCACCGACATACTGCTCTGCTTGTTGGAGAAAGATTCCGGGAAGAGACCGCCCGGCCACGAGATCGCTATGCATGCCTTCTTTCAGGTAATTCTTCGCTCGACTAGCTCGACAGACCGGCTACTTTGCCGGACGGTAAAAATACATGGCGCGCGAGAGCGTTGCATACACACGATACTCTTCCGACCTCGCAGCACTTGCCGTGGGATCGGCTGGAGAGGAGGCAGCTGGAGCCGCCGTTCAAGCCCGCGCTCGACCACACCTTGGACACGAAGTACTTCGACACGGCGTTCACAACCGAGCGTCCGCGGCTGACGCCGGTGCCCGAGCAGATCCTCACGTCGATGGACCAAGGTGTCTTCCGCGGCTTCTCCTACACGAACCCGAACGCGACGGACTGACGTGTGAAGGCCAACGGCGAGTGGGACGAACGCACGACGGCGCGTAGCCTTCGGTCCATCCGTTCTCCTCTTCGCGGACATTCTCGTGCTATTTAACATATAGCGAGACAAAAGAAGAAGAAAAAGAGGAGAAGGAGGAGGAGGAGGAGCAGGAGAGGGGACGCGTCGTATTGTTGTTGGCTCGTGCAGACAGCCTCGAGATTCTCAGCTCACACCTTCACGCAGCGAGCGACGACGAGAAGGCGCGACGGTGTCGACGTGAGAAGGGAAGGGAAAGCGGCGAGCGGTCGCATCCCGAAGACGTGCACACGTAAAACACGCGAGCCGCCAAGAAGATCGTCACGCGCGTCTTGGACGCGCGAGCGTAGGCACGAAAATCGAATAATAACCGCGGCTCGCGCCGCGCCAGCTAACCGGCCAGCTTGTAACGTAAGATTGTACTTCTGTCCCGTTTAATGTTCCTCAGAACTCTATAGTCGACCCGCGCGAGCGCGCGGGTCAAGCGTACAAGTAAGAACACACCGGCTGCCCCACGACTACCGTGCGGTGTTTCAACAGCGTATAGCAGAGATCAAAGGCTGATTCTCGTTATTCGTCCAATTTTCTTTCAACTCGAACGATTGAGACGCGTGACAGACGAGTACTGCGAGTGTCCGAATGCGAAAGCATCGAAGGATATTCCGAGGAAGGCAAGACCGGCAGGTTCTTGTCTGTCGCCGCCGCCGCCGCCGCCGAAATGGCGAGTGAGATTCAGACTCTTCCAACTTGTTTGGCTCCGATGTAAACGTCCTTGAAAAGTTAAAACGTTAAAGATGTTATAATCAAAATGTCACGATATGTTGAAGGTAAAAGTCTCTCAACTTTGCGTTCACGATACTTTAACGTTTCACGATATCGCGCGAGAGATGGCGGAGGACGCTCAGGCGGTCAACAGAGAGACCTGAACACAATCGGAGAATCGAACTCTGCGCTTGATCGCATACGTGGAATGTCGCACGTTGGCCGCGGGGCCGACAGAGGCGCACCGTATAGATTTTTATATCATAGACTTAGGATGTAATTAGACGCGCATGTCGGCAACTGCGCGTGCAGTTGGCGATATTATTTATTTAGCTCAGTAAATTGTTTGCATAGTCGCGATCGAATCGCTCATGGCCATCGTTGATAATCAGAGAATGTACGTAATTCTAGTCCTTTGTGCCTGATGAGAAGGCGTCTCTCCGTGGCGGCGGACGTCGAGACGGTTCGAAGAGAGAGAGAGAGAGAGAAAGAGAGAGAGAGAGAGAGAGAGGAGCGATGAGCTCGCAGAGAGACGAGAGACGCCGACGCCATGGAGGACGATCGATTGGAGATTGGAAGACGAATACATAGAGCTTGTTAGAAACGTGTAGACACGTGCGTTTTATTCACACATGTAACACTAGATCAGCTCCTGGCTGACGATACTGAAAGAGAGAGAGAGAGAGAGAGAGAGAGAGAGAGAGAGAGAGAGAGAGAGAAAGCAAGAAAGGGAGGGAAAGAGAGAGGGAGCGCGTATGCGATAAGATTTCTCACTTTCGGCGATAATTGCCACTCGTTCTCGGGCGTGTGTGTGCGTGTGCGCGCACGCATGTGTACGCGGACTTTCTTCCGCATTCCTCCGAGCGTGATCGCGGAAAAGCATGTCGCCAGCCAGCGTGCTCGCGCTCCTCTCATCCTGGTGTAAATTTTGGCGATGCGTAATTATCCGCCGCTTCTCCGCCACGGTTATTATAAGTCCCGGCCTCACGTTACCGCCGCATTCGCGGCTAGGTTATTAATACTCGAAGTGCCTTATTATTTTGGCCACGATGGAGTCTCGAGTGTTTTCTTCGAGAGGCCGGACACTCGTCTTCGCTCGGACCTTCGCCGGACCGGCTCGAATCGGCTCGCTTTTCTGCTTCATGTAGCTTCCTTGCCTTTTATCTTTCTTATCTCTTTCGCTCTCTCTCTCTCTCTCTCTCTCTCTCTCTCTCTCTCTCTCTCTCTCTCTTTCTCTCTCTCTCTCTCTCTCTCACACACGCACACACGAAATAGCTTGGTCGCTGCTCGTCTCCTTCTCCTCTCCCTCTCTCCTCGCGAAGAACATCCGCTGCATTTCTGCTTTTTTTTTCCTTATCTCCGCGAGTTCGCTCGGTTCGAGTTGCAGTTCATATTTCGCGTCACCGCTCTCCGGCTCCCCTTTCGTTCGCTGCCCCGTTTTCCTTTTTATCCCCAACTTCCATCGTTACGTTTTTTCTATCTTCTTAATTATGCTCTTCTCTCTTTCTCTCTCTCTCTCTCTCTCTCTCCCCCTCCCTCTCTTTCCGTCTAGCTCATAGCTCGGTTCCTTCGTCCATTGCGCCTCGCGCGTTTTGTTTTTCCTTATTCCCCTCCTGTCCTATATCTCTCCTGTGCTTTCTCGCTCGCGCACACTTGGCTCCACGCTCACCGCGCGCTAACTTTAGCTCGTCGAGGAATTGGCAAACCGCGCACTCAGCAGCATCCGCCGAGATGAAAGTGATGGGCTGTCGTAAGATTGCCGCGGGGTCACCGCTGGCTCTCTATATAAACATCACGAGTGCGCGCGCGGAGAAAGGGATAGGAAATAACGGCGCGTTCAGTCACGGCTGATTGATTTTCTAAACGGCGGGACGCTGAGGAAGATGTTGGAATACACGACAGGGCGGTGCGTCTGTCCAACTGATGAGAAAATCGAACCCGGAAAAAAAGGATCTCGATCGAGTTTCCTCAATGATACCTTCTCGCTTAAACGTCGAGACAGAAACAGTGACAGAGAGAGAGAAAGAGAGAGAGAGAGAGAGAGAGAGAGAGGGGGGGGGGATACCGTCGGAACAAAGGTCGTTTGAAAGCTGCTGGGAGTCACCGCGTACGACGACGTGCGGCTTCTACGAAGCAAACGATCTTGAGGCGAGCCGAGGATGCGTGTGTGAGAGGCACAAGCCAATAGGAAAGAGCGAGACGGCACGATTGGCGCCAAAGAGCGAGAGAAATTAAGATCGGAGATGCGCAAGAAGAGGGGGGAAGGTTATAAGAGGCGGCAAAAAGCGACGCTTTAAGAGGTTCGGTCAATGGTCCCTGAATCTGCGAATGGCCTGGCGAACTTCAAGCGAACGCCACGAACGAACACTCGCGCACTCGTCGAGATCGGAACGCCGATCACTCGTCCGAGCTGATCCGCGACGCCGCCGATGGAAGAGGCTCGCGAGGTCTCTTCCGACTTCGCGCTGACAAAAGAGAGGACGTCAGGTTGCCAACGACACGGCGGAGACGCTCGACGGGCATCGGCGCGATCGCCGAAAAATCGCACTGTCCGACTCGAATTAGGGGGTTTTGTATAATTACTTGATATAGACGCAGTATTTTTTAAAGAAACCAATGTTCCCCCGAGGAAGAAAGGAATAAAAGATGTATCTATCCTCCACTTTTGTTCTTCGTGCTTCTTTAACCCTTTCACTGCTGAATTAACTTTCCTGGAGAAAATTATTAAAATATTTGGTAGTCCTACGTTTTTTAAGTCGCTGATTACGAATCTAAAGTCAGATTTGCAGAATTCCAAATGACGGATTCAATATGGCGACCATAAAATCAAATTTCGGCCGTTCTTGTAGAAATATTTGTTTATAAAAAGAATCTAACCTGTAAAAAAATACTGAAAAAATATGTTTTTGTACAATATCAGAAAAATATTTGGTGAAAATTTCAGATCTCTACATTCAATACTCTCCGAGGAATCGATTTTTCCTTAAAAAAAAAAAAGCATTTTTTTCAACTTTGATTTGTTATGAATAATTACAAATGAATAATTGGATATAAAAACCTATTGGAATATGTTGAACAACTATTCAGTTATCTGGAAAACTCAAATCTCCGATTAATTCTTCAAAATTATGTGATTTACAACGCAAAATTGAATCAAGAAGAGGTGGGAAGTATACTTCTCATTAACAGTGAAAGGGTTAACACTCGGCAAGGCCGTGCTGAGGAAAGTATCACTCCCCAAGCTGAGAAAAGCAATCGTTCCGGTTTTAGTCTTGAAATATAAACTCGTCGCGGATCTTGAAGAAGCTTATCACTGGGTAATCGAAAGGAGAGACTCTCTTCTCACAGATTATAAAACTCGTACTCTGTGGGAAGAGGCAGACGGAATTTTTCTTTCGATTTCATCGCTCTTCTCTTTTATTCCTGTACTAATTTAACTAATTCCTATAATAATTTAACATTCTCAGCTAAGGTACCAAACTTGCTGGGGCTCATGACGTATCTCGACTGAACTTGACGCTTTCGCGATAGATTCGCGGATATAGAATATTCGCGAAGTGTCTGAGACATGCGACATTTACTCCAACGCAGTGTGCATTTTTCTGTATGCACAGACGGAGGCAGAGAGAGAGAGAGAGAGAGAGAGAGAGAGAGAGAGAGAGAGAGAGAGAGAGAGAGAGAGAGAGAGAAGGAGAAAGGAAAACAGAGACAGCGATCAATATCGCCGAGACGATGGGTTCGACGCGGCACGCCCGCGGCGGCCGATCCGAGCGGAAACCGAACTCGGTCAGAGCGCGCACTCGCCGGACTCTTCCACGGCGCTTGATCGTTCGGGGACCAGCTAATTGGCAGGGCGATTTGACGAGAAGCACGGTCTTACTTGAGGAGGCGCGAGGCCGGCGAGTCGTCCGCCAGGGCCGCACGCGTCTGCGTGCGGTGCGTAGGCGCGGGTGTAGATCGTATTAATAGATCCGCTCGTCTGCGCGCCGATGCGGCCCTCGATCGAGGAGTTATTTTTGAGACGCATCGCGCGCGCGAGTCGTTACACAGTTCTGCGTCCTCAGTTCTGAGGAGTTTCGTCCAGCAAGAAGCGCGCTCCCGACTCGCCGGATCGCCACGGACAAAGACGACGCGCGACGACGGCCCTCGGCTGCTGTTTACCCCGCGAGCAAAAGGAATCGCCGCGGATTGTGCAAGACTTGCGATTGTCCAAGGCTCATAAGCGCGTGCATCGTCCTCTCTCTCTCTCTCTCTCTCTCTCTCTCTCTCTCTCTCTCTCTCTCTCTCTCTCTCTTTCTCTCTTTCTTCCTCTCTCTGTCTCTTCCTCGTCCTCGTTTCGCCGCGGCGGGACTCTGCCGATTAACTCCCGAGTGCGAGAGTGAGAGTGTGCGTCGGCCGCGGGAACAAGGAAGCGCCGTATGAATGTTCCTCTTGTGCGCGGGGTAGTCGATCTGGTGCCGCGGATATGCACGGCGTAACGTAGAGCGACCGCGGCTCGGTGACGCTGTGAGCGTCGTCGCATCGCTCTTGGCTAGCGCACGGTTGCTCTCTCGAGTCTCCGCGGCCGAACAACTCGGTAGGGACGGTGAAAAATCGTGAAGCTCGCAGCCGCTGCATCTAGGAAGTTACGAAACAAAGAGTCGAGGTGGACGACCGCGCGCGCGCGCGCGTGTGTGTGTGTGTGTGTGTGTGCGCGCACGTCGTCTTCCTCCTCGGGCAACGTTGATCCCGCCGGGATCATCAGAGGCGCGTGACACGAATCTCGCGCATCCACACGCACGCACGCACGCACGCACACACAGACGCGTGCGTGTACGCACACGCGACTCACAGGCGGCTCGCTGGGGGGCGAAAAACGGGAACCGACGACGAGGATGTTCAGCTCGTTGAGGCTGGCGACCATGCGCTCGCACAAGAGCCGCGCCAGACCGGGCAGCGTCGCCACGTCCGCGAGCTCGGACTCGACACGGGCGGAGGAGACGGCCGCGCAGTACCACCCGCATAGCTTCCTGCTGCTGGACGACCAGGACGCGAGCGCGATCGGCTCCTCGCCCTCCAGCGTCTCGTCCAAGGTCGCGCAAGTGCGAGTGGAGCGCGAGGCTGGCAGTCTCGGCGTGACCCTCCGCGGCGGAGTGTCCAGGGCGCTGGTGGTGACAGGGGTGAAGGCTGATGGTCCGGCTGCGAAGGAGGGCAGAGTCCGACCCGGTGATCGCTTGCTGGCGGTGGACGACACCGAGCTGCGGGGACTTACCTTGGCGGAGGCGCAGAGAGCGCTCCGGAGGAGCTCCGACGCGCCTGTCGCGTCCCTCACCATCGAGTACGACGTGGCCAACATGGAGGAAGCGCGCGCGGCCACTTCCGGCCCGCTGCTCGTCCAACTGGAGCGCGGCCTCTCAGGTATGGCTGGTCCCTTGGACCCTCTCGCTCACTTCTCTCCCGATCTGTCCAGTCTCTGTTGTCGGGAATGAACTTATCTAAAAGACAAGATGAAGAACAGACAGACGTTAATGTCATGCGACAGCGCGCAGGTTTGGTGTTGTAATCTGAGGTGTGTACAGGTGAGCTGGGATTAACCGTGCGGGAGACTCCAAGCGGCGTCTACATCGAGAGCCTGCGCCCGGCGAGCACGGCCGACCGTTGCGGCGCCCTGCAGTCCGGAGATCGTCTGCTGGCGGTGGACGACACGCCTGTCCAAGACGCGGTGACCGCTGCCAAGCTGCTGCGGAACAATTCGGAGAGCTGTCGCATCGCCAGGCTGCAGATACTGCCGCGTGCGCCGAGCGCATCGGCGAGAACGGTGAAGAGGCGAGCGCAGCCGCAGGCGCAGCAGAGCTCCAGCCAGACGCTGCAGATGAAGGAGAGCTTGACGGTGGTCCTGCGGCCGGATCACAGGGGCTTCGGGCTGGCGCTCAAACCGGCGGAGGATCGCGTCAACTACGTGGTGAGTCTGCTAGAAGCGGGCGGCCCTGCGGAGCGCAGCGGCGTCCTCTTGCCCGGTGACAAGGCTGTCGCGATCAACCGCAGGATGCTGCGCGATCTGCAGCCGACGGAAGTGACCAACGTGCTGGAGACCTCGCAGATGGTAAGAGGCTCCATCCTACCTCTCGCCAGACGTAAGATGATGTGTCTTCCTCTGAATTACCGTGTCCTCTATGTTCTTCTTTTTCTTCTTCTTCTTCGGCATATAGATCGAGTTGGTGATAGAGTACAAAGTGGGCGGCCCGGTGGTACCAAGCTCCGGGGTGTTCACGGTGAGAGTGGCGAGGCCACTCGGCGGCCAACCTGACTTGGGTCTCACGGTGAACGAGGATCTGGTGATTACGGAGGTCCGACGGGGCTCGCTCGCTTATAGGACGGGCAGCCTGGCACCCGGCGACAGGTTGCTCGCCATCGACGGGCAAAAACTGGACCCCGGCGACCTGCGGCAAGCCGCGCAGTTGCTGCATCGACCTGGCAGCTCGGTCGTTGCGTTGACCGTTAGGAAGCCAGATCCTAACCCGGAAACAAGGTACGCGGCAAGAACATGTTCTGCGGAAAGATGATCGTTTTAGTGTGTCAGATTAGTTTTAATCAATTCACGGCCAGAGTCCCGTTTATGAAGCGCTTCTTCTTTATATTGAACGAAGATTCATTTTCGATCAAAATTATTGTGATGTTAATCTGGAACCTCTAAAGGTCTCCAAACGATTGAGTCCTTCAACTGAGAACGTGAACGAAACAATTACGGCTTTGGTAGCCGCGTATCGGTGCGAAAGGGGGAATTTTGCAGGGATTATTGCAGGGAGTCCAGCGTAGGAAGCGACACGGTTCAGCCGCAATTCTCCAGCGGTGCGTTGCGCTCGGCCAGGGAGAGTCTACCCAGCGTGGACAGCGCGGTGGACTCCTGGGGCGAATTGGGAGAGAACAGCGGCACCGTGCCGGAGATACTGAGACTTTGGGACACCGCGTCCGTTGATAGCGGCCAGCTGGATCTGTCGATGCCATCTTACCCGGGGTAACGATCATTTAGTCGACAATAATTCGCAACAATCGACAACTACGTTTGCATAATAGCCAAAAATCGACTCAACCTAGTCTACGTTTACCTATCCAGCGTGAGAGCGACTTGATCATTCTCAATGTTCCAATCACTAATTTTTTGTTGTATAATTGCTCATACGACATGAGCCATCACGGTTGCGACACCGTGGTAAATGTGTCGAATCAATCTTATAATGTTCACCTAAACATAGACCAAGCGACGTTATTGGATCGGTTTTAGCTTTGGTCAGTTTATTCGATAACAATAATTCGCATTACACGTCCAATACCGCTTCTCTTTCTCTCTCTCTCTCTTCCACATTTATAACTCAGGCCGCAGGAGCGCAACGGTTCCGACAACAGGGCTCAGCAGATAGTGCACGTGTCGCTACACAAGGACCCGGTCTACGAGGACTTCGGCTTCTCGGTGTCGGACGGCTTGTACGAGCGTGGCGTTTACATAAACCGCTTGCGGCCCGGCGGGCCCTGCGACGGCGTTCTACGGCCGTACGACAGGATCCTCCGTGTCAACGAAGCCAGCACGGAGGACTGCGACTGCTGCTTGGCCGTGCCGCTGATCGCAGCAGCCGGGCCGCGTCTGGACCTGACGGTAGCGCGGCCCCTGTCGCCACAGAACATCGTGAAGACCCTGTAGGTCGGCGAGCGCGACGCAGCCGTGCGAACGCCGCGCGACTCGCGTCTGTCCTCGGCTCGAGAAAGCTCCGAGCGAGGACTGCGTGTCGTCGCTGCTCGCGGAAAGCGGTGTTCACAGCTCGACGTTACACTCAACACCGTCTGAAGTTCACTCTAAAACGCTGAGTCGTGAGTGCTGTCGCTACCGTGCGGGATGGATCCTGAGACTCCAACTCCAGTCGCGAGCTATGAATACCGCTCGCAGAGCTCGCGGCTGCAGTCTCTCACTTACTCAATGAACGTCGATAGCATGGGTCGAACTTCAGCGAACGCTCTCGATATATTTTTGTACACACGTGTATTTTATTTATAAAAATAAATGTATAGAGATTGGTTTTTTAGCTAGAACACACGCTCTCTCTTGCACACGAGTCTTCTCACTCTCACACTCATACGCCACGACGCAGCACGCACGCACGCACGCACGCACGCACGCATACAAGTCACGCATGGTCGCTCGATTCGACTCGCGAGCCGCACTCGTGTACAACGTCGGCACTTAAAACATATCTAAATGTTCATTTCTCTCTCTCTCTCTCTCTCTCTCTCTCTCTCTCTCTTTCTCTGTCTCTCGCAACGAGCTAACAATTCAGGAAGTACAAATCAAATCGGGACACCTGAGTCCGTAGTCTGTACACTAGGAAAAATGTATTGTTGCGTGGACCAAAATTTTGTTGTAACAACAAAACAATTTGGTTAAAATATGCCCAACAAAACTGTTTAGTTCCTGTAAACAAATATCTTGTTTGATTACGGTTTGTTCGTATAACGTAATACTTTTGTTATAGCAACCAAAAAGCTTTAACTGTATGAATTTTGTTAAAAATACTATAATTTTTTCTTAATATATAAAATCTAAATTTTAGTGCACAGAAAGACAAAATAATATCGATTGGGCATTATTTTAGTTTATGTAAGATGATATTTCGTTACTATGTAATTTTTATGGATAAAATAACTAAAATGCTTAATATTTCCATATGAAATCTAAAAACAAAAGCATTTGTGGTCCAGAAAACAAAGCGGAAAAATATATTTAGTTGAGACAACTAAATATTTTGTTATATAAAACAAGATATTTGGTATTGCTATTAAAAAATGCCTCGACTAAACAGTTTTGTTAGAGATACTAAATTTTTTTTCCCAGTGTAGGATGGCCGCGTAAATATCATCAATGCGCTTCGGGCTACATTCTCGCTTTCGCTAATTGGGACACTCGTTTCAACAGCAACTCATAAAACTGTTCGATCTTGACCCATTAAATAAGGGAGCGAACCGACAGGAGTCTGAAGCGCGCCGGTGTATCTGCGATAAACTGCACGAATGGCGGTATCAAAAGGTCGTTGAAGTCGCAACGAGCGTTCTGACCCGCTTCGTGTTGCTCGTCTTCGTTAATCTGTTTTGTTTCGTTTCTCCCGAAGGATCTGGAGAATTGACGAGCAACGCGTTGGACGAGCAACGCGCTTTGATAGATTTGTAAACGGCGAGGTGGCGTCGAGCGACATCGACGCCGAGCCGAGGTTGCGAAACGTCCGGATTCGTGGAAGGTGTACTTGCCGTTGCGCGGTCGACTCGATAATTTAGACAATATATAATGCAGCCGGCGAACAACACAGTGTGTCAATGCCGTATACAATCAACGAGTGTCGTTAAACATGTCGGATACACGGAAACGGTTCGAGCGCGAAAGAATTATCAATACTACCAATAATAGTAATAATCCGTCAATGACCAGCGCGATACGTCGAGGAATGTAGTCGGATCGCCGACTGGCTACTAATCACCGACTATAATGCTAATTGGGCCAGCAATCAGCTATGTCGCACACCGTAATGTTGAATCAGACCTTACCAGCAGGTACGGCTCTTCGCAGAAATATCATGATTAATTAAACTCAACCTCGCGATCGAATATGTATATATATATATATATATATATAAAAAAGGACCTCGAGTATTCTCTGAAGCGTGCGGCCATCATCGGTACGAAAATACAGAATGCAACTGTAGCGACGACGAGTCCTCTCGCGCGCCAAACTCGAAGGATGTAAATCACTTTTGCCCGTAACATTTACAAGTCGAATATACACACACACATATATAAATAATTCTATATAGCGCACCGAGCGAAAAGGTATCTAAAAAGTGAGAAATGTTTACTCCCAGTGGAGATTCACTGATAACGCATTTATCTGCGCTGATAACATATATTTCTACAAACGAGAAAACGCTTATTTCTTTCCAAAATGACAAAATGCCCGTTTTGTTCAATCCGTAAGCTTCTTCACGAAGACAAATGTTTATTCTGTCCAGTCGAGTGAGAAAATATACATTTTCTCTTAAACCCGTTGTTACCCTTCGTGACAGCAATCGCTTGTTCTACTTGTGAATAAAAGAATTTAGATTCAAGCAAGTTGATATGTTAGCGACATCCGCCCGACAGATAAGTCGTATTTTTCAGATACTTTTTCTCTCGGTGCGTCAGATTCATCCTCTATGAGCCTCTTCCTTGCGTCTGGCCAACTGAAACGTCTCGCAAAGAGTCACGGCGATGTCTCAGCTCTTTCGGAAATCGCGAATCCTCTGGCGAATCGCGAAGAGAAAGAGATCTCGGACTTCTCGACGACGTAACGAGAGAGAACTCACGTGAACATGTCAGAGACGGGAGTTAACAATTGAGACTAGACCGCGTATAATTGATGTTTCTTGTCGACGTATCCGTTCACCATGAAGGAATTGTTATTACCGTTGTGGAGCAGGCTATAATACTTGGGCAGGGTGGTGGCCCTTTCATTCTCCGCTCTCTGGTCGTACTTGGCCTTATTGTAACACAATACACCGAGTATCGCCATGGTCATGCCGAATATGTTCAGCCACGTGACCGGGTTGCCCAGAACGAACAGCGTCACCGCGATCACGGATATCCGCTTGCTCGCGCTGGCCACCGCGTACGTTAGAGGAGTCACGATGGACAACACGGAGAACGCAATTATGTTTTGCAACCAGTTCAGTATACCGTCTAAAAATAACAGTCCTACCGTGTGATAGTTCATCTCCACGGACGTCTTCGTCACCGGATCGTGCACTAAACTCTGCAAGTCGTACAGCAGCCAAAACGGCAGGAACATGAAGAGAGCCAGACGACCGAGTATGTGCAGTAGTCGCAGGTGATGCACCCCTGTGTCATGCAGCACCTGAAGATGAAGAGTCGCGTGTAACGTTCAGACACCTGATCCTCCTCGAGAGCCGGGAGGACGACGTGCTCGACTTCCACTCTCTCTCTCTCTCTCTCTCTCTCTCTCTTTCTCTCTCGTTGAAGACTTCTCAGTCGTCTCAGACAACACAAATTTTCTGAAAGATATTTCTAAAAGAAAGACGTTGCTTGAACATCTTGGAGACATTCTCTGAAGATTTGCGCTGTCTGGAAAGAGTTGTTTTTGCAGAGGCAGGAAAAGCTGGCGCGCTTTCGCGTATTTTGCAAGATTGTTGACACAACGAGAGAAACGAAGAGTGAAGGCACGGCCTGTCGACGGGAGCACAATCGATTCGCGGCTCGATCCTGCGTGAATACCTTCTTGGAGTAGATGTTCTGCAAGGAGAACGCCATGGTGGACAGTAACGCGCTTATCAGACCGACCATGTTGAAACTAAGTTCCGTGAGCGTGGCGATTGCGACACCTCCGACAATCGGTACCAGGCTCAGGTAGACCTTCCATGTCTGCTGTTCCCGCAGTATAATTCTCGACAGGATTACCGTGAAGAGGGGCATTGTAGCCTTCACTGGGACAGAGCCAAACTTCCGTTAATATATAAGGCCAAAATAGAAGCACGGGCGGTGCTCGTGCCGCGTGTATGACATGGAAAACTTCTCGACGTTCAATCTCGAAGACGAAAAAGGCACGAAAGAAGATCGGCGCGCTAAATTACTTCGTGACAAATTCATCCCGACAATCGACTCGTCACTCACCTAGTGAGAGATTTATCCTCCGCAGTGAACACCAATTAATATTCTAATTTTCTTTTCACCAACGAAAGCGTAATGAAGCAAGAGTACGAAGCAAAAATTGACTGATGACAAATTCGACTCGCTTCCTACTACTGGAAGTTGCTGTTTATCGGCTCTATTATTCTTATCTTCCGCGTCAGATTTTTCTCGGGCATTCGTCACGCACCACTTCCCGAATCGTCCAGCATGAGCGACGTATTTTAAACAGATTACGTTCACACACGCCATGTGACACCTTGCCGAGAGGCAACGGCGCGTAACTCGAGAATGGCGAGAATGTTATCGAGCGCGTCGCTATTCACGATCGAAGCTATCGTATTCTTCCTCGGCGTGTCTCGTCGTGAGAATGTTACCAACTCCGAACGACGTTCTATCCTCGATGAGAACCTCATGTCCTGGCCAAGTATCTATATGTCTGTTTCGTGCGACCTAACGATGATAACGTTTGTTGTTACATGTCGTTGCGTGGACTCACGTATCTCACGTTATTTAATAACTGTAACGCAACAATGTTTGTTGATACCGTCGCGATATAAAAATAACGGAGCGAGCGTACCGGTTGCGTGCGTTTCACCCGCGGACCTTACTTCTGGGAACGCACACGTGTCGCATTTTTGCGTGTCGAGCCTATGACATACTAAATAGCGGAGGAGACCGAGGATTCCGGATGCGAAGTCCTGCCTGATTAACTCGGGACTAAACCAACAATTAACTCGTCAGCTTCTCAGGTCCGTTCCTTTCAGCCGAACCAGATGCACTTTTCATCACCAGGATAAGACAAGAGTATGAAGTAACGTTGGAAGGGCAAGGTACAGGGAGTTCCTGTGCAGCATCGGTCGAGCTAAAACGAAAAGGCCTCCGCAGACAGCGACGTTACATCGACGTTGTAATTTCTCACTCAACAACGCGACTGTCATGTCACATATGCGTTATATTACTCACGTTGCTGAGCGGGAGATGGCAACACGTTGATGTGCTGTCACTCGCGACTAGTCTCCGATCCATCATCCTCGGCATCTCCAGCGTCTGATCTGACAGAGACTCTACATACCAGTATGAGCGTAGGAGACTGGCACCTTCCAGATGCTGACGTGGCTGAACACGCTCGCGAGAAACTTGCCCAGCGCCAAGGGCACGATCAGCCGCATGTAGTAGCTCCATGTGATGTTGGACGTGTACCTGCGGACACCCCACAGGTTGAAGAACGGCCCGGAGTAGATGGTGATCGAGGTTAGCTGCACCATCGTCACCGTGATCGGGTACGGGAACACCGACAGCAGCATCTTGCCGACGACGTTGCTGCTGCTGGATATCGCGTACCAGAGCACACACAGGAACAGCACCGTCACGACCTCGCGATTACTCCGTCTCTCGTCCATGATTGTCGCGTCGGCAGACGAGAGACGAAAGTGCTGTCAAAATTGCCAGCCCGGAGTGCTCCGCGCGGCCGCTTTTATCGCGCATGCACTGACGTGTTGGCTTGTGTGCTGTGTGTGTGTGTGTGTGTTGTGTGTGTGTGTGTGTGCCGTATGCGTGCGTGTGGTGGGATACGCGACCGGGGACGTGGTGTACGCAACACGACCGACGACGACAAGAATTCGCCCGCCGCGTCGGCTATTCTCCGACAGCGATCGCAAAGAGAAGGAGAAAACGAGAGAGAACGCGCGGAGCCAGGAACGCGAGCGTCGCACGTCGGCCACGAGGACAACTACGTGCACTTCCATCGGATGATTCATCGAGATAGCAGGCAGCCATGCTTCAGGCCCGAGGGGGCTTGGATTTTGGAAATGTTCATTTTTTACGAATCCATGCCAGACAGAAGAAGATTCGTGATCGCCCACTTGAACCGAACTTGAATTTGTTGCTCGTATTTGTCGAAGATTCACCGACGAGGTGATATTCTAGCCCTGGGTAAATTTTCGTATTGGCAGAGGGACCCCGAAGGGCCCGGCGGTCAATTCAAGAGAGACGGCAATATCGAAATGCTAGGCTGAAGGTAACACGAACATTTGTATCGTATTGTATTTCGATTACCATGACGATATAAATTACCGACGATAGAAGAATATCGAATTTTTTGTAAAAATCGTAAAAATGGCTAAGTTTGGCTTAATAATGGCTGAATAAAAACAAAACAGTAAACGGACAAAATCTATTCAATTTGTTAATAATCAAGTCTGCTGTTTATAAAATAGTTAGTTTTGCAATGTATTATTTCACTTTTGTGTACGACCAGAGAGGAAGCTGAGAGCCGCTAACCTTTTAAACAAAAAAGTAAAAAAAAGGCGCCAAGTACAAGCGCAACACGTATTGTGTTATTTTTAGAAGTATCAAACTCAAATTATTTTTTTTATTGTATATATGTGTACATAAGTTTTTACAAGTAAAACTTATAACTATAATAAAACTCTGCAACACTTTTCTACTGTACAGAAGTGTACTGTAAAGAAGTGATATATTAGAACAGTAGAGCCAACTGAGAAACCTAACATAACATAACTAAAACTTGTTTAATACATATATGACAGCATTTTTATTATAATAAAATGTTCTTGTAAATTCTCTTTATACATATACGATATAATGTTTTATTTAAGTTTATATAGTATCATAATAAATAAATTATAAACCTTCATTGTAGAATATATTATAATAAAAATGCTGTCATATGTGTATTAAACAAGTTTTAGTTCGATATAGTTTTTGGTGCAGCCGCGCCAAGATTTTTGTATTAAATATTTTTTATTGCATTGTTATAATAATTAATTTGTTACAATAACAAGTAAAATAACCATATAACTCAGTGTTCTAATAAATAATGGTAAATTTTACTTGTAAAAATTTATGTTATGGACATTTTTTGCAGCTAGGTTTTCTTGAATATTTTGAATAACATAACCTTTAAAAAGATATTTTTTTTAAATATTGGACATTATTAACAAACGTGTTAAATTTTTATAACACGATATCATTTTTACTTTTAAAAGTTTATGTACATATATATCTTACAAAAAAAATAATTTGATAAGTTTTACTTATAAAAACTTATGTTATGTACATAATATTTAAAAAAATATTCTTTTTAAATATTGGACACTATTAACAAACGTGTTAAATTTTTATAACACGATATAATTTTTACTTTTAAAAGTTTATGTACATATATTATAAAAACTTATGTTATGTACATAATATATATCTTAAAAAAGAAAATAATTTGAATTTGAGATTCCTAAAAATATTAAGTTAAGTATACAATAATCATATATATATATATATATGTTAGGTTCCTCAGTTGGCGCTACTGTTCTAATATATCACTTCTTTTGTACAATAGAAAAGTGTTGCAGAGTTTTATTATAGTTATAAGTTTTACTTGTAAAAACTTATGTACACATATATACAATAAAAAAAATAATTTGAGTTTGATACTTCTAAAAATAACACAATACGTGTTGCGCTTGTACTTGGCGCCTTTTTTTACCTTTTTGTTTAAAAGGGTAAGTTTTATATAATATTAAATATACGTACGTAATTTCACGTATAACGTGATTGACTTGGAGTACTCCGTGCCCACGCGTGTTATTCATAGCGACGTATTCATACTTTCCCTGATCTGTTACATCGGATTCAATAATCTGCAAGGCACCTGAAACATAAAATATGATATTCTCGAACAGCGTTCCTCTCAGGATTTTCTTGTCCAAAGAAAGATCAATGATGCGATCGCAGATCTCGTGTATGTCATGTCAATAGAGACAGTTTGAATTCGGCGTAATATGATTCTTGGAACAAACGTAAATAAGTATTGTGAAGTTTGAAGCGAGTCTCTCACAGGCATGCTTTGAAAACATGAGTTGTTTTCATTTTCAGCTAACGGACGACGCAGGCATCAACACTGATCGGCAAGGTCAGCGACTGGTGGGGGGTAACCGTGCCTACCCGACTGTTTGTTTTTGTACGCTTATATATGACTCCGTGATTGCGGAAAGGACATTGCGCCTCGGGCCGACGAACGACGCGCATACCGCGACGCAGTACAAGTGTCGGTAGTCGTATCGCGGTTAATACGCGTTTCTTTGTCCCCGAATCTTACTTGCGCGAGTGTTAGAGTTAGAATCAGTGTCGTCGCCAGTGCTACAATGGAGTATCCGGGGATGCTACGACGGAGACCAGAAGGAGGACGTCGGATCGAGAAGTCAGGATGGAGAGAGGACTCGGAGCGCGCCGAGAGACGTAGCCGAGGACAACGATACATCATGTATGATATTCGTGGTACCTTGAGTTATTATTATTACGCATTATTATTTTTCTGATTTTAACGGACCTTACTCGAAGTAAGGACATATCCGAGTCGAAATTAGATCAGCATTCATAGTTTATATTTTGAAAAATTATAAAATAGCTTGAGATTTGATTATTCCTCCGATTAACCTAATTTCACGTAACGTGAGTTCTACTTTTCTTTTCACATAAAATATGAATGTCTATTCAAGCAAGGTTGCTGAGACAAGCTAAGGTTTATCAATACAAATTTGTAATTATGTTCTCAATGAAAAATTGCACATAATTTATAAAACTATGAATAATGATCTTAGAATTTGATATAAATTTTACAAGTGTTGATTTTTATTCGTCTAATAATGCTCAGATTGCTGTTTTCGTTTAGAATCTGTTAGAATGTCCGTTTCTCATTCTTGTTTATCTTTCTTATTGTACCGAATCTGAATTAAAATCTCTATTAGTGAAACAGCATTATTAGACATAACCGTTGTCTTTTTGCAGCTTCAGCTCTTTTGAGAGCTACAATTCTCATCATTCTCAGTAGAAAAAAGAAAAGAAAAAAAAAAGAAGAAAAAAAGGAAAAAAGAACTTTAAGAATGATGAGAATAAAAAGCATTTTTCATCTCCCATTTCCTCTAATTCTTATATGATTATTTAATCCTTATATATTTATCTCACGCGCAGTTCTAACAAAGGCAGTTCTAGTTACGTTTTTATCTTTGTTCTCTTTCTTGCGCTGTTAAGCGAATATATAATCAAAATCAATAAAAATTTTTCATTTAAATTAAAAATATAAGGATTAAATACATATATATTATCGAAATAAACGAGTATTAAATAACTGCGGAATACGTCGCTGTTGAAGATACATCATGGGCGAGACTGCGAGAGTAGCCAGAGATATAACGTTCAGGTAGGACAAAGCTTGTTCACTATTGCGCATCTAAATATTCTGCATTGATTTTTCAAATTGGATGCAATTTGCAGGATCAATGTAGAATTAATATTTCGACTCGGAAAAGACTTTTTTTTTACCAAATCCTAACTTGTAGAAGTAAGTACCTGAAAAATGAGAACGAATTGTCATTGCACTTGGACAATCTTCTGACACTAATTTCTGGTATTGATCGATATTCGACTTTCGGTACTGATTTACTCTTTCATTCCTCTACAAGAAAAAAAAATTGATACGACTCGATCATTTATCCGCGTTAGTTTGATGAATAATTTAAATATTGATCGGCCTTCAATTTTCGGTACTGATTTATTCTCTCATTTCTTTATAAGACAAGTAAAATTGATACGAATCATTCGTTTATTCGAGTTAATTTATTGAGTAAATTAGAGGGATAAATAGCTGAAAAATGAGAACAAATTGTCATTGCACTTGGACAATTTTCTGACACTGATTTACGGTATTGATCGATATTCGATTTTCGGTACTGATTTACTTTTTCATTTCTCTATAAGAAAAAAAAATTCATACGTATCGTTCATTTATCCGCGTTAATTTGACGAATAAATTAAATATTGATCGGTCTTCAATTTTCGGTACTGACTGATTCTCCAATTTCTTTATAAGAGAATAAAAATTGATACGAATCATTCTTTTATCCGAATTCATTTGTTGAATAAATTAGTAGGGTAAGTACCTGCCAGATGAAAACTTGTCATTGCACTTGGACAATTTTCTTGACATTGATTTATGGTATTGATCAGTCTTCGGTTTTCGGTACTGATATATTTTCTTATTTTTTTATAAGACAAAAAAATTGATATAAGTCGTTCGTTTATCCGAATTAATTTTTTGAATAAGATTAGAGGGGTAAGTACCTGAAAAATGAGAACAAATTGTCATTGCACTTGGACAATTTTTTGACACTGATTTATAGTATTAATCGATATTCGATTTTCGGTACTGATTTACTCTTTCATTCCTCTACAAGAAAAAAAAATTGATACGACTCGGTCATTTATCCGCGTTAGTTTGATGAATAATTTAAATATTGATCGGCCTTCAATTTTCGGTACTGATTTATTCTCTCATTTCTTTATAAGACAAGTAAAATTGATACGAATCATTCGTTTATTCGAGTTAATTTGTTGAGTAAATTAGAGAGATAAATAGCTGAAAAATGAGAACAAATTGTCATTGCACTTGGACAATTTTCTGACTCTGATTTACGGTATTGATCGATATTCGATTTTCGGTGTTGATTTACTCTTCCATTTCTCTATAAGAAAAAAAAATTCATACGAATCGCTCAGTTATCCGCGTTAATTTGATGAATAAATTAAATATTGATCGGTCTTCAATTTTCGGTACTGACTGATTCTCTAATTTCTTTATAAGAGAATAAAAAT